GCCCCCAACAGGCTTCAAGAGGATCCCCAAGGCACCCAATATGCTCCCCAAACGCTCCAAGAGGCCCCCCCCCGAGGCACCCAAGACGCCCAAGAGCCCCCCAAGACTGCCAAGCGACTTCCGAGACGTCCTAAGAGGCCACCAACATCCAAGAGACCTCTGGCCGTTTTGCTCGCCCTCATCCTCCTGCTCCTCCTTCCTCCTGCTCATTCTCTTCCTCCTCCTCCTCCTCCTCCTTCTCCTCCTCCTCCTCATCATATTCATCTTTAGTCTCCCCACTCCCTCATCCATCCATCCAGCTTCCTTCCTCTCCTCCTCCTCCTCCTCCTCCTCCTCCTCCTCCTCCTCCTCCTCCTCCCTCCTTCGCACGGTTCGGCCGTCCATCTCTTTGCTCCCGCACTTCTCTGATCACCTCAACTCACGTGGGTATCGTTTCTGGATGGGCTGGTGGGGATACTTTTTGATCGCGACCGCGAGCGGACACCCGCGCGGCGTCACAAAGTCGGGCAGACAAGCGAGGGGCAGCGCTGGTGGGGATACTTTTGGTATGCGGGCTCGCGAAGCAGGTCGAAAGCCGTCCGAACACTAACTGGGCGCTGGTGGGGATGCGCGAAGCGTCTAGAATTATAGAACAGCACCGAAAGGATGAGGGATTGGGAAAGTCGCAGCCTGAGTTGCACGATGATGATGCTGCTGATGATGATGAAGATGCTGATGGTGACTATGATGATGCTGCTGATGATGATGATGATGATTATGATGATGATGATGATGATGATGATGATGCTGATGATGGTAATGGTGATGCTGATGATGATCATCATCATGGTGATGATGATGATGATGATGATGATGATGATGCTGATGCTGATGATGCTGCTGCTGCTGATGATGATGATGATGATGGTGATGGTGATGATGATGAGGAGGAGCAGGAGGAGGGGGAGGAGGAGGATGATGAGGAGGAGGCGACATAATGAGCGAGCGAGCGAGGTGCCAGCGCAAGCTCATGCGGCGAAGCGCGTGTGCCTGTGTCTGATTGGGCAGGGCGCATGAGGCCGTAGCCTCTCAAACACTGCAAGACTCTGACTCACAAACAGATTGTCATGGCTACAAGCTGGAAGCTGGAAGTCGGGAGGAGGAGGAGGAGGAGGAGGAGGAGGAGGAGGAGGAGGAGGAGGAGGAGGGGAGGAGGTGGAGGTGGAGCAGACGGAATCGCAAGGAGAAGGAGGAGGAGGAGGAGGAGGAGGAGGATGTGGTGTGAATTGCAATACTTTGCCAGATGCGTCGAGTGAGTGAAGGAGAGGGTTCACGTGCCAAATCGCCCGCCCCTGGCGCCCGTGCCGCCGCGGGCGGGGTTGAGCTGGGCCCGCCCCTGCCCCGCCTTTAACCTCTTGTTCCGTGCTGAGCGGGCGGAGGTGGCCACCTTTCCTGTCCCCTGCCTGGCCGGGCCGCCAGCGACGGGGGGAGGCGTCCCCAAGTGACGACTGCGACGAGGACGACGACGGGGAATTGAACAAATCAATCTCGTCGGCAGTCTGTGCTTGGCACCCGAGCCCAGAATCTGCCCCCCGTGGCCCAAGAATCGAAGATCGATCGGCACACAATCGCGACAACCATCGGACGCGCCGTAGCAGGATCGAGGGTCAATCGGCACATCTGGACGCAACCGAAACAAGATCAGCGCGCCATCGGAACATTTTCGGGACACAATCATGTATCGGTCGGGGCACAATCGAAAATCCGAACGCGACATACTCGGGACATCGTCGCATGCCAGACGGGACACCGTCAGGAGAATGCGCCAAGCCGCCCGCCCGGAAGAGCAGAGGGGGATTCTGCTAACCGGCACCCGACCACATCTTCGGTAGCTTCGGTTGCAGGAATGCAACACGCAATACCGCGACTTCTCGGTGGGCCTCCTGGCGGCCCTCACTATCCCGAGCCCCAACAAAGATACGGCACAGCCTGGTTAGGACGGTAGCGGGTGGCGCGGGAATGGTCTGGGATGAAGACATTGGCCAGGACACAGCACAACGGGCACAGTCCACTATGTAGGGAGCTTGACAAGCGAGCTACAGGATATGTTCTCCAGCAGGCCAGGACAAGGATTTTCTCGCTACTTATGTGACACTACCGCCAAACGTGACGAACCAGTCCTTACGGAAAAGCACCCCAAATCAATTCTCCAACGGCTGACATTGACGGGGGGAGCGGTCTTTGGAGACGCGCACAACGAGCTCGCTCCCCGAAGCACGGCGACCTGGCTGGTCACGGTGCGGCCGCGACTGGAGGAGGCCGCCGGAGGCCCTCGGCCTTCAGGGTCCCTGCTGGAGGTCTCTGGAGGCCCAGGGGGCCCGAGAGCTTCGTCGGGCACACGCTAGCATGGATTAGGGATCCTCGACCCTGGCGCGTGGACGCCAGATCCACGAACCGAGGAAGGTCGCCGGTGATCCTCAGCCTTCAGGGTCCCTGCTGGAGGTCACTGGAGGCCCAAGAGCTTCGTCGGGCACGCGCTAGCACGGATTACGTAGGGATCCTCGACCCCTTGCGCGCGGGCGCCAGATCCACGAACCGAGGAAGGTCCCCCCCCAGAACATGAGGCCAGCGCTGCTTTCGATTCGGCGACGGAGCGCCACGGACTGAGCATGGAAGCGGGGCCCGCCGCTGATCCACGCGCCTCAGTGCATGTTTGCGTTTCCTCGACTGCGATCCCAAACATCCGACAACGCGATCTAGACCTCGACCCCCTGTCCGGAAGTAGTAGTCCCACCAGCCCTCTGGGCGTGGGTGGTTTAACAAATTTTGTCTCCTCCCTGCCAAGGGCCTTCTTTCCCCTTCTCGGGGGTGTTTTTTTCTCCCCCCACCCCTCCCCTGGGTCTGGACGGGGCGCCCCGCGAGGGGTTAGAGCGCCCAAGATCGTCCAAGATGGCTCCAAGAGGGCCTCAGAGGGCACAAGATGGCCTCCAGGATGGCCCGAGATAACTCAAGATAGCCGCCGACGCACATTAAAGAGGCCTCAAATCGTCCCGGAGATGGTTTCAAGTGCCCCCCGAGCCCTCCAAGAGCCTCTCCAAGATGCCAGAACGGCTCCAAAACCAATGTGCAATGTATGATTTTTGCCTTTTCGCCTTATCGCGTGCGATGGGCCTCGGAGGCTCCAACATGTTCCCAAGATGGCCCACTGGAGCCCCAAGAGGGTCCCAAGAGGGCTCCAAGACGACCCCAAGAGCGCTCCAAGAACGGCTCAGAGGGCTTTAAGACGACATTTGTGAGCCTCGAAGGGGGGATTTGAATCCGTTACCTTTTTTTAGCCTCGGGGGCCAAAATGGCCCCAAGGGCCTCCCAGACCCTCCTGAAGAGCCCCAAGAGGGCCCCTAGACCCAAGAGGGCCCCAAGAATGCCCCAAGTGGCCCCGCGAGGACCTCAAGAGAGATCCCAGATGGCCCCAAGAGACCTCCGAGAAAACACTTCCAAGGCGGTTGTTGCACTGCATGCTTCTACACTTCCCTGATCACAGCACCTCGCCTGGCGATCTGTTTCTGGATGGGCTGGTGGGGATACTTTTTGGTACGCGGGCGCGCGAAGCGGGTCGAACGCCGGGCGAGCAGGGGCAAAACTGGTGTGGATTTGTTGATCGCAAGCGCAAACGGAAAGGCCGCACGCCGTCCAGAGCTACCGCTAACCAGCAGGAGCCTATTGCACACTAAACTGGTGGAAACTTTTTTGATCGCGACCGCGAGCGGGCACCCGCGCGGCGTCGGAAAGGTCGTGCAACGAGCGGAAGCCGGTGGGCACAGCGCAACTGTCGCCGGCCAGACGCGGGAAAAAAGGTGCAAGGCAACTACGCAGAGGGACTGGTGGGGATAGTTTTTGGTCGCGGCCGCAAGCGAAGGCGCAGGCGGCGGGTCGGTAAGTCTGGGGCGCGGTCCTTACTAATTTACAGCGAGCAGCAAACTAGAGCGCGGGGTCAAACCTAAGCTGCCTAAGCCGCCGGACGCGAAGCGTCCAGTTTTTTTCATCCCGGCTCTGTTTTGGGGACCCTGGGCGCCGAAATCGAGGAGAAACGCCAGGATCGAAACAATCGTGCCTTCGGAGATCTCGGGTCCTCCTGCCAGCGCGGCCGCGGCTGCGGGAGGTCCCGCGCGGCACGCGGGGCCTTGCCGAGGACGGCCATGCAGATGGAGAGCAGCGTCGAGTGCCGGGCGATCTTCGCCACTCGCAGGATCCTGCTGCCCCCCCCACCCCGAGCCAGGCTGGCCCATCCCATTCCCCTCAGAGGGATCAGGGGAATCTTCGGGGGGTTCAGAAACTCTCCTTCCCCTCCGAAGCCTGACCTTCGGAGACACTGCCGACTCTGTAAACCCTGAGACGAAAAATGATGGCGTCTCGCCTCTATTCCCGCCGCCTTCCGCTGGCGGAGCCGCCGCCGCCGCCTTACTTCCGCCACCGCCCGCCGAGGCTGAGGATGTGCCGACGGCGAGGCCCTTTCAGGAGCGCACAACATGGTTTTACAAGAAGACTTCGCAAAACTACGAAGCTGCCAAGCCAACTGAAAGTTCCTCGAGGGATGGCCTCGCAACGTGCTGTTCAAGACCAGGCGGCCCTGGCACGTCCGCCAGGTCCATAGTTTTTGGTCCAGCTGTGAATGCCACCTCCTGCTCCCTCCATCCCTTCCTCACGCCTCTTTTCCTCTCTCATCCTCCTTCGTACGAAACACGGATCCCCGCAGAAGACAGCTGAGTTCGCATTTTCTGGAGGGTGCTGCTTTGCTTTCGCAGATGCTCGTCAAACCTGAGTTGTCGTCCACCAAGACAACTCGGCCCTGTGATTCTGGCGTCGAACTTGCGCCGACTTGTACCAGTGAGCGGGCGTGCATGCCGTGGGCCACAAGATTCGAAAGCCCAATCCGTTTCGCAACGACGGCCTTCAATTCTGACCTCATTCATACTATCTTTACTCTATACGGCACTCGGCTGGACCAGTACTGCGACTCATGGAAGAATCGCCTTTTTCTCTTCCCGAGCTTCCGTGCAGGATGCAACGTGCAACGCTCTGTGAAGAGATGCCCTCAACCTCTGAGCCGAGCTACCGCAGATGTCTTATCGAGCGACTTCTGCTGAGGGTTGGGGGAGGAGGCGGGGGAGGAGAGCCCGAGGCCCGGGGAATACTGGGAACCTTCAGCGCTGGAGCGCTGGAGGGCCTCCCTCCTCTCGGAGTTCCCACGCCGCGATTTGCAGAGCCGTCGCCATTCTTCTCGCGGCCAGGCGTTGTGCGGGTGAAGGGAGGAGGGAGAGGAGGGAGGAAGGGGAGAGTGAGTTGGAGGAATAAGGGACGAGGGAGAGACGGAGGAATGAGGAAGATGGGAGGAGGGAGGAGGGAGGAGGGGGAGGAGGAGGAGGAGGAGGAGGAGGAGGAGGAGGAGGAGGAGGAGGAGGTGGTGGTGGTGCGAATTGCAGTACTTTGCCAGATGCGTTGAGTGAGTGGTGGGGGGGGGGTCATGTGCTTGCCTCCTACCGCTGCCGTTTTCAGATCAACGTTGTTAGACCGACAGGCCTGTGCTCGGGGACAGGCGCTGAGGGAAAGGTCAGTCTCAGGGATTACGTTGATCAGCGAGTACGAGCAGGCTCCGGGCGGAGCCACAGAGGAGTTTGGGATTTGTATTGATCCTGAGCCAGGTCGAGTCTTCCTGAGGAGACGATGGCTGACGGATCATCGTCTCAAGGCGGCGGTGCTGGTCAGTGGCAACGCCTATCCGGCAAAGTGAACGATGCGGCGACGGAGTACAAGAGCTGGAGGCGCTGGATCGGGGCCAAGCTGGCTGTGGAGATTCGTCGAGGATTGCCGCCAGAAGCTGTCGGACCTCTGGTGCTGACCCTCTTAGACGACGAGGCAGAGAAGGCCTGCGAGCACCTCGAGCTCGCGGACATCGAGCAGCCACATGGCGAGAAGAGCCTCTTCAGGACCTTGGACGAGCGTTTCCTGGACAAGGAGGCCAGCGACAGAATCGAAGATGCACTCGAGAGTGTGTTCGGCCTGACTATCGAGCGCGGTGAGACGTCGTCCGCGTACACGGGAAGGGCTCGCACAGTGTTCGCCAGTGCGAGGAAGGAAGGAGGGAATTGAGCTCCCGTCCGTGGCTCAGGGGTTCTTGCTCCTGAGGGGAGCCAGGCTCGGCCTGGAACGCCGAGCAGTGGTGCTGGTTGCGAGTCAACGACAATGGGGCTTTGCAGAGATCTCGGCGGCCATCCGGACAGCATACCCGAAGCAGATGCCGACGACCAGCGTACACGAGGCGATTCCAGAGCAGGACGAGTGGCCAGAATCGTAGCCACCATGGTCTTCAGCTGCAGAGGCAGAAGATGCGGTTTCATACGAGTTCGAAGCGGAGATCAACCAGCTGCTCGAGGATAACGGCCCGATGGACGAGGAAGACGCGATCGACATACGGGCTACGTGGAAGGAGACGAGGACGGCGATGACGAGAGAGAAACTACAGCGTGGCCTGCCGTCGAAAGACAGTTTCAGGCGACTCACCGACCGCATATGCCGAAAAGTGAATCATTTCAGTCGCAACTGTCCTGAGAACCACATGCAGAACCCAAATCAGCAGGGCTCCGGTGGCAGTCGGAAGCCTGGTTGATTCATGAAGCGTCCCCAGTCCAGGCCTGTGAACCAAGGAGCGGTGCAAGTGCTGATGACGAACGGGACCACGCAGGACCTCGACGGCGTCGAGGACGACATGTGAAAGGACGTGGACATTCTGCTGGCGTCGTGGTCTCAGCAAGGCAAGGGGTCTCTGATCTCGAAGCTGACGAATGAGGAACGTTTCCGACGACTGGCTCGGGAACGCAGCGGGGACGAGCAGTACGTGGATCAGGACGACGTCGATGAGGCAGACGAGACGGATCAAGAGGCCGAAGTGTGCGCATGTCATGCGCCTGGGTGTGTTGCCCTGGACTCCGGTTGCGGCATGGCCCTCATCGGCACAGAGACGCTCGCCAAGCACTCGAAGGAGACGGGGATCGAGCCCGAGTGGGAGTCCGACGTGCCCAGCATCAGCAGGTTCAAGAGCTACGACGGCAAGGTTCCCAAGTCCCAAAGAGCGTGCTGGCCGCAGTGGATGTTTCCGAGTGTTGGCAAAATGGTGAAGATCTTATGCTACGTGATAGATGGCGAGGCCGGGCTCCTGATAAGCAAGCCTGTGATGAAGATGCTTCAGGCGACTCTCGACATGGCAGAGAACAAGCTGCACTTGAGACGACTGGGTGTCACGGTATCTGTCCGAGAAGCTGAAGGGAATGGTCACCTTGAAGTTGAGCTTATGTGCCGGGAATTCGACGGCCAGCAGGTTTCTGACACGGAGATCGACGAGGCGAAACTGAGGATCGCGAAGCTCGACGGCCATTTTCAGTAGGGCCGGGCTGGTGCCCTGAGGTCATGGCGAACGTGGACGCATGCAGCGTCAAGGCCCCCGGGGTGATGGAGATTTTCTCGCCACCTCGAGTGTCTCCCGAGGCACCACAGTACGGCATGAAGGACTTGGGATCGTTCGACAAGGTCAACGGCTAGGACACCCGGTGCCCGAAGGATAACTATGCAGGACTCGTGGAAACGAATCAAACTGGAGGAACCCTTCTGTGTCATCCTGATATCATGACACCACTGTGTGAAAAGCTGACAGCCCTCCAGAATCTGACTCCAGGTTGGAAACGCGTCGATTTGGGAAAGCATCTTCGGGAGCTTCAGGAAGCTAAGAGGTTTGTGAAGGAGTGCGTTCAGATCGCAGATTACCAAATGTCCAAGGGCCGACATTTTATCTTCGAGGCTCCTACGACGGCATCCTCGTTAACCTATGCCCTATGAAACGGCTCCTGCAGAACCCAGAAAATTTTACGGGGATTACGAGTGGATGCCAGGTTAGGTCTCCGTCACCCGGTCTCAGGAGTTCTTCTGAGCAAGCGCTGGAGGGTTCGTGTCATCATCACCTGAGGTGGCGCGTGAGCTGAATCTTCCGTGCTGTGGCGGTCATGCCCATGTGAGGACCGAGGGTGGCCGCCCGCTACCAGGACTGGGCATCTCACTGCCCAAGCATACCCAGGTCTACCCCACGAACCTGGTTCGGAGGATACTACGAGGGGTATGGAAAGCATGGATGATCCAGGACGGTGGGACGGAGGAGGTGAATGGGGAGGTCGGGGACGAGAACGAGGAGGACACAGGAGGAGATACACCACGACGACCCCAGAGTTTCCAGGCGGCCCTTCGGAGATTACACGTAAATCTGGGACATGCGACGTTTGCGACGATGATCCGACACTTGCGACATGCGAATGCGAGTCCAGAGGCCCCCCGACCGGCAGCCATTCTTAACTGTGATGAGTGCGCGTCTAGGAAACAACCAGGTATTGCGAGGTACGGCTCACCGCCGACGCTGCAGCCCCATTTGAAAACAGTGTGCATGGACGTTAAGGAGCTACCTTACTATATGCCAGGGGAACGACGGAAATGCCTCAACATTGTCTGTGATCCCTCTTCTCTTCATGTGATGGCTCCGTTCCGGGACGGGGAAACCGAATCTTCGCATGTGGTGCTGCGTATGTATCGTGACCTTTGGACACGATCCTACATGAGGCCCAAGTGGCTGAAGGCAGATGCTGGCAGCGCCAACGTCTCCGTGGTTCTTCAGGATGATATGGACAGGGATGGGGCGATCATCGCAGATACAGCAGGGACGATCATCGTAGATACAGCAAGGACGGCAAAGGTGCACGGAGAGTGGTTCGAGCAAATGTTTGAAGTGATGCTCGACAAGCTGCAGCCCCAGGATGAGAAGGAGTGGCTCGAGTGTGTCGCTCAGCTCCAAGAAGCAAGGAATTCGATGTTGAACGTCAAGGGTGTATCGCCAAATCAGATTGTTTTTCGTCGAACCCAGAGATCCCCGAGGATATGTTTCAGGAGAATACAGATTTGATCGCCAACAACTGTGTGCTTCAAGACGCGGTGGCAACCCGTGCTGCCTGTATCCGGGCAATGGTACGGAGGGTTATTTTGGCGCACAACGAAACGAAGGCTGTACGTGTAGCCCTGGATGCCAGGCCCAGGGTGCATAGAGTATTCGAGGCCGGGGACATGGTAGCATTTTGGCAGAAGATGAGGGGAGCTATAGCCGGGAAGCAGTCGTCGTACCGATGGCGTCGTACCGATGGCGTCCAAGAATCTGTGTGGGTCCGGTCCGTGGAAACTATTGGGTTGCTCTTCCAAGGAGTCTGGTGAAAGCGTCTCCAGAACATCTTCGGGAAGCTACTGTTGAGGAGAGAACTGCCTGGCGTTTGGTTGAATCCGAGCTTCGGTCTACTCCGGTTGGTCTTGACAATCTCCAAGGACGTTGTTTCGAGGACATCTCCAAGGGACCGAAACCTCCGGAGGGTCTGGAGGAGGGGAAGGAGGGGGAGGAGGAGCAGCACACAGCCTGGGAACATCCAGGTGCAGACGAGCAGCAGCAGCAGCAGCAGCAACCACCGACCCACGACGGCGATCCGACTCTCGAAGACTGCTCGAACGATGCGTCACGCGATTCGACATCGACGACTCCAGCAAGTGTTCCGACTCTGGCTCCCAAGTATCCAACCTCGCATGTGCCCATAGGTGACCCCCGTCATCCCACAGCATCTAAGACATGTAACAGCAAAGATCCTGATCGCGGTGCCCTAGATCCGGTGCGAGATGAGGAACTCCCAGCCTGGAAGCTGCCCCGATTGGCGGGGCCACCAGGTTTGTTGTTCGCCCGTTGCGTGGAGGTACTGCTATTGGATTGTGGTGCAGTTACGACGGAAGGAGATGATGAGGCTCCGATTCTGGCGGTAACCGAGACCGAGGTACGACTAGCGAGAGGACGGAAGGAGGAGCGAGAGAGGGATCCAAGGTGGATGACAGAGGAGGGACGACAGGTGGAGGTGGCATATGAGAAGGAGCTTCGAACACTGATTGTGAAACAGATAGCATGGAAACCTAGGTCAGTAGAGGAGTCTCGACGTTTGCGACTCGAAGTGCCATATCGTATTTTACCTTCACGGCCTGTCCTGACTTTGAAGACGGAGGGTGACGGAAATACCGAGCTTCGGTGCAGATTGACGGTACAAGGTTTCAAGGATCCCGATGTCCTGGACATGGTCCGAGCTGGCAAGACACAGAGTTCGACGTTGTCTGCGACTGGCATGGCAACGCTGCTACAGCTGGTCGCCTCCGCTCGTTTTCCGATGGCCTGATAGATATCAGGGAAGCTTTTCTAGAAGCTGATCCAGAGGACCGTCCGCATGGGCCCGTGTTCGTGGTTCCCCCAAAAAGCCACATTCAAAAAGGCCATCATCCAGATCAGCTGTACGAGCTTGTGAATGGGCACTGTGGAGTTTCAAGCGTTTTGCTGAGGAGATCGACTTCGTGGCCCGTCTCCTCGACCCTTGCCTTGTCATGATGCTCGAGCAGTTCAGTCAGGCCCTGTCGACGGTGCCAGTCTGTGTTCCCGAAGGTTCTGTACGCGGGACTTCAGGGACCCTATATGGTATATTTGGGGTAAATGTGGACGATACGGTGGGAGGAGGCAGGGGGGAACTATTGGATGAGGCTACGACAAACATGAAACAACGGTTCACATGGAGAACATGGCGACTTGGGGAAGGGGAGCTTATTGGGTCCTGGTTGCGACAGCTACCTGAAGGTACTATTGTGCAGTCTTCAAAAAATACGCCGAGGAGATGAAACCAGTAAAACTAAAACGACAGGCACCGAACGACAGCCAGGCACTGCCAGGTGCGATCTCGACGCTGATTTCAATGAACCAAGCGGGCAACTGGCTGGCTGGTCAATCGAGACCAGACCTGTCGTGCCAGGTGAGTCGCAACCAGCAGCTCTTGCCGCATCCGACGGTGAAGGAGATTAAAGATGCCAACATGCTGGTGCGTCGAGCTCGACAGCACAAGGACTTGACTATTCGTTTCTTTCCTGTTCCGCTCCGAGACGTTCGCATGATGATCCACACCGAGCTTGCTCAAGGAGAAAACGACGGACTTCGAAGGACCCAAGGAGGCTACGTGCTCAGTGTGACGACTCTGATGCAGCAGGGTGCCGCGTCTCCGTGGAACCCCCCTTTCTGGAGAAGCTACCGGCTCCAAAGAACCACACGGTCGTCTTCGGGTGGGGAAGCCTCCGTGGTATCGGATGGCATTGGACATATGGAGTGGGTGATGTGTTTCTTAGCAGGGGCTATGTTTCCACACTTTACCTGGGAAATTCGGTACGAGTTTATCCAGAGGTTTGAGGCTATCGCCATATGTGATGCCAAGTCCGCCTGTCACCACATCAACAAGATTGGTTCCCCAGGGGCTGTTGATGATAGAAGGTGTGCGGTGGAGATGATGATTGCCCGACAGGCCCTCCAGAGGTTCCGAGGTTGTCTCCGCTGGGGCCCCACGGCACTTCTGCTGGCCGACGCTCTCGCGAAAGAAAAAGCCAACGCCCATGATCTTCTCAGGGCGTGCATCAGATCTGGCGTGTATCAGTTGGCTGACGAGTCGTCGACGTTGGTTTCAGCTGCAGAAGAGCGTGAACGTCGCCGTATCCGCATGGAATTTTCCTTAAACACGCCCGAGGTCCAGCAGGAGGCCCAGACTTCGTGCATATCGTGTGTGATGTGTCAGATGGTCGGCGTGAATGCCGAGGGAGATCCGGGTAGTGTTCGCAGTCGTTTGTACAGTCTGGCCACAGTGAAGACGTCCTTCCAGGACATCACCAAATGCGTGGCGTTCCTCAGGAAGATTTTGGTGACGATACCTGCTATTGTGTTGGACGATGGCCTGACTGGCCGCGACCGTGGCACGAAAGTGACCCTGAGCTACTTCAACAGCACCAACTACGTCCAGATCATGTGCGCAGCCACGATCGAGGACGCGATGACCGTACAGTTCGGGGAGCTCGAAGCTCGATATGCAGCGAAGGTGAAGTCTCCGAAGATCAAGCTGGAGCTTCCAGAGGGGTGTGAGCATCTACGAGACGTCCTTCGAGTCCCGCAGTGGGAGACAGAGGGCAAGGGCACCGCTCAGTCGAGTGTGCTCAAGGAGGAGGAGGAGGAGGAGGAGGATGAGGAGGAGGAGACGAAGTTCATCAAGGTCGAGAAGGTCGCCTTGCCCATCGACAGTATCGCGTACAAGGAGGCTATCGAGGATGTTGCCGCAGCTGTCACCTCAGAGCTGCGAGGCTTTCCCGAGCAGCGTGATGCCATGCTGGCTGTCCTACAGAACTCATTCGGCCTGACCATGACCAATGCGGAGGCCGATGATCTGGGTGAGTAGAACGAGTCTGTGCTGGCGCCCGTGGGCCGAGTATGCATCAGGCAACTTAGATTTTGGAGTGAATGTGAACTGCAGTACTTTGCCTGATGCATTGAGTCAGAGAGGGAGAGGGTTAATGTGCTTGCCTCCGCCCGCTGCCGTTTTCCGATCAACGTTGTTAGACTGACAGGCCTGTGCCCGGGGACAGGCGCTGAGCGAAAGGTCAGTCTCAGGGATTACGTTGATCAGCGAGTACGAGCAGGCTCAAGGCGGAGCCACAGAGGATTTTGGGATTTGCAGGAGGAGGAGCAGGAGGAGGAGGGGGAGGAGGTGGAGGAGGAAGAGGAGGAGGAGGAGGAGCAGGAGGAGGAAGAGGAGGAGGAGGGAGGAGGAGGAGGAGGAGGAAGCATGATGATGATGATGATGATGATGATGATGATGATGATGATGATGATGATGATGATGATGATGATGATGATGATGATGATGAATGGTGATGGTGATGGTGATGGTGGTGATGATGATGAGGAGCAGGAGGAGGAGGAGCAGCAGCAGCGGTCTCTTCAGTGCGGCAAGGGTGTGCAGCGGGGCCAAACGCGCCCAGCGGGGCCGCGCGTTCGCGCGGGGGGGGGCGCCGCCGCGACAGGAAGGGAGGGGAAGGGAGGGATGGAAGAAGGGAGGCAGGATGCCAGGAAGCTGGAAGCACGCATGGCTGCCCCCCCACACGCGTGAGCATCCGGAGGCCGCCGCGTTGGATGCACACACGGCGGGCCAGCGCACACTGCCACAGCAGGGCCGAGCGCTGGAATGACATCTGACCGCACGTGAATCCAGCTCTCGCCCAAGGCCGGCTGCGTCGTGGTCCAAAGCCCTGCATCCGAAACCGTTGTCATCTCCTCGTGGCGCTACTTTTACTTCCGCTGGCCTTCCGTCGACGGAGCCGCCCTCGTTTCACTTCCGCCTGCTTCGGCCGCCCGTCCGCCACCTTTCGCCGAGGAAGAGATGCCAACTCCTTCGATCCTCGAAGGCGAGGCCCTTTCTGGAACGCCTCATCGCTCGGGGCCGGCCGCGTCATGTGAACCCCACATCCTGGCAGGAGGAGCAGCGGCAAGAGGACCAGAGCGGGCCAGCGGGCGGCGCGGGCCGCTCTCAGCGCCCGGCCCGCGCGGGCACTGCCCTCTTCTGCCGCGCGTCCCGGACGGCGTTCTTCCTCGCGTTGTGGAACGCGAGCGCGTCTGGGTGCTGCGTCTCGACCCTGCCCGCCTCCATGAGGTCGAACATCTCCTGGGAGTCAAACTTGTCCCCCTGCACGGCGGTGCGCCGCGGGGGCAGCGCAGAGCAGGGGCGGGCCCTCTCAGAAGGCTCAGCTCTCTGCGGCTGGGAACCTTAGCTTGGCGTGCTGCGGCGGCGGCCCCGGCAACGTGCGGTGCCCTGCCCGCGGAGGGCGCGTCGCTCCGCTCCGCGGGGCGGGGGGCGGGGAAACGTTCGGGACGCGGACGCTCGGGGGCCAAGAGGTGGACAGCGTGCCGCGCCGCAGCGCGGTGGGCCAGAGCCGGCGGAGCGACGCGCGAAGCCAAAGCTCCTGCTCGCAAGCCTCCTCCGAAGCCCTCAGACGGCCTCCGAGAAGCTTCTTCGTTCTTCTTCCAGCCTTACGCAGAGTTGAACGGTCTAGCGCATGACCTTCTTCTGGGCCCTCTGCATCTGGGCAAGCTTTGAGGAGCCAGGTGGCAAGCCTTGCTGCACTTTCCTCCATTGACGCTTGCCATACTGATGCAGCTGGGAAGTGCATACTTCCGCTAACTTCCTGACACCCTGGGTGGCCCCGCCGCCCTCTCGGAGGGCCCGCCCCCCCTCTTCGCCTCCCTCCCAGCACGCCGCCGACCTGCGGCTCGGCGGCCTTGGCGCGCTGCGCCTGCCCGTGCTGCAGGTCGTACCACTCCTCGAACGCCTGGACGAGCCTGGACTTGCACTGCTGCATGCTGCGCTCCACCTGGAAGGAACAAGACGAAACTAATTGTGTGAGCATGGTCTTTCGAAGGTCCGCGCGGGTTTCCTGGATCGGTGCTGGGCCCCCCCTGGCGGCGCCTCTGGCGCCGCCCCTGGCGCGCTCCGCGCGCCACGGCGTGGCGTCCAGCGCCGATCCAGGAAAACCGCGCGGATCCCTGGAAGTTCATCAGCGGCATTTTTTCTTCTTCGGCTGCCTGCATGACCTCCGTCCGCACCCGCTTATGGGTCTCGAAGGCCTCGCGGTACTGCTGCTTGGTCTCCTTCAGGCTCTTGATCAGGGCGTACTCCTCCTCGTCGATGAGCTCCTCGTCGCGGCCGCTCGGGTCCATGGCCTTGTCTGCCTGCTTCCTGTCCAGGCGCTCCTTCGCCTCGTCGATCTCCTGCTTCTTCGCGTTCGCGGTGGTCAAAGCGACGCGCATCTCCTCCTTGCGTTCCCGAAGCTCCGCCCGGTTCTTCTCGAAGTCCTCCTCGAACGCCTGGCCCTCGTTAGCCTTCCAGTCCGTGAAGGCGGCCTGCTTGTCGGGGCGTGGCTCATCCTTCCAGGAGCACGCCGACTGCTCCACTCGTACACCGATCCGTGCCAGGCCCACCGCGGGCCCAGGCCAGGGAGGCGCACACGCCAGTCCTGGGCCAAGGGATGGCCCTGGGCAGGATCGGTGTACCATCTTTCATGGACAGGATCACGAGCCGAAGAACCACCTGCCCTGGCCAGTCCCTCCAGGCCAAACCTCTCCTGGCCGAGCCCTCTGGCCAGCCCGAGTTTGGGTAATCCTCTCCACAAGCCACAGCACCCAGAGATCCGACGCGGCGAAAACATTAAAAGATCGTGAAGCATCACGACCGTAGCGCTAGACCACACCTCTCTGCGGCATTCTTCGTGCCAGCTCGCTCTAAGATGGTTCTTTGGGCTCGGAGCTGGCCGAAAACGCCCGGTGTGAAAACATTGCAACGCCCATGTCTCGGGACAGGCGCTAGGCGGCGAGCCCAGGGGGGAAGGCAGAAGGGGCGGGCCTTCTCAGAACGCTCGGAAGGCCTCCGTCCTTCTGAGAAATGCTCTGAGCCTTCGCCGAAGACACAGACGGATTCGCAGAAGGCCAGAGGGTTTCTGAGAACCCCTCCGCCTTCTGAGACGGCCTGCCCCCTTTTCACTCCCCCCCCTGGGCATGCCGTCGATGCCCACACTGCTGCTACCCTCGCCAACTAGCGGAGGCGAGAGAGGAGGATCAGCGCCACCGACACCATCCCCGAAGCCAGCAACGACGTCAGCATCGACACCATCACCATTTCCAGCATCGAAGCCAGTTACTGACGCAAGCATCGACGCCAGCGACGACGTCAGCATCAAAGACAATGGATGCCTCAGCATCAAAGTCAGCACCGACACCAGCACGGACCCCAGCACCCACGTCAGCATCGACACCATTACCGACCCCATCATCGACGCTAGCATCAACCACAGCATCAGTGCCAGCATCGACTCCAGCATCGACGCCAGTACCCACGCCCACATCTACCCCCGCATCGAAGTCAGTCCCCACGACAGCTTCGACGTCAGCACCGACACCAGCATTCACGCCAACATCGAAACCCACAGCATCGACGTCAGGACCGACGACAGCATCGGCGCCAGCATCGCCTGCAGCATCGAAGACAACATCGACTCCAGCACCAGAGCCAGATTGCACGTTAGCGTCGACACCAGCATTGACCCCCGCATCGAAGCCAGCAACGACGCCAGCATCGACACCAGCACCCACCCAGCATCGACACTGGCACTGCCGCAAGCGTTGACGCCAGCACTGACGCTAGCATCAACCACAGCATCAGCGCCAGCATCGACTCCAGCATCGACGCCAACACTCACGCTCACATCGACCACCGCATCGAAACCAGTCCTCATGACAGCATCGACGTCAGCAGCGACACCAGCATTCACGCCAACATCGAAATCCACAATGACGCCAGCATCGACTACAACGCTGACATCATCCCCAGCATCGAGGACAGCATCGACCCGAGCATCGACGTCAGGACCGACGACAGCATCGGCGCCAGCATCGACTACAGCATCGAAGACAACATCGACTCCAGCACAGGAGCCAGATTGCACGTCAGCGTCGAACACCAGCATTGACGCCCGCATCGAAGCCAGCATCGGCGCCAGCATCGACTACAGCATCGAAGACAACATCGACTCCAGCACAGGAGCCAGATTGCACGTCAGCGTCGAACACCAGCATTGACCCCCGCATCGAAGCCAGCAACGACGCCAGCATCGACACCAGCACCGACCCCAGCATCGACGCTGGCACTGCCGCACGCGTTGACGCCAGCACTGACGCAAGCATCGACGCCGCATCGACGCCAGCATCAACGGCGCCAGTACTGACACCAGTAACTACCCTAGTATCGACCGCAGCACTGACGCCACCATCACCACCAGCACCAACGCCAATATCGAAGACTGCATTCCTCCAACACCGGAACAAGTATCTACGTCATTGCCAACAACACCATCGGCTCCAGCACCGACGCCAGCATCGACACCAGCATCGACCCCCGCATCGACACTCGCATCGCAGACAGCAGTGACCCTACCATCAGAGCCAGGAGCCTGCACCGCATCCACGCCAGCATCAACTATCACAGCATCGATTACCTACGTGCAGAACCTGGATCGGTGCATCGAACGCGACGCCTTGTGCGCCACTTTCAGCCTCTTCGGCCCCATCCTCGAGTGCGGCATCTTCATCGACCAGGTCAGAGGGTCCATGAGCTACGACATCGTAGGCTTCGCCTCCGACAAGGCGGCCACGGCGGCAATCGCACAGTCCCACGCCATGCTCGGCATCACCTGCGGCCTCGCAAAAGCAGCAGTCACCACGCTGGCGCCGACGCCAGCGCCTACGACAACACCGACGTCAACACCTATGCCGGCATCAACAACACGAACCCCAACGCCATTCCCGACACCATGCCCGACTCACCACCCAACGCCTCCCCAGATGACCGGGAGCACCACGACTGCGACCAGCAACAGCACCACCACGACTGCGACCAGCAGCGCCGCCAGCAGCAGCAGCACCACCACCACCACAACAGCGACCGCGACCGACAGACGGAGAATGGGCTGACATCCCCCAAAACCCGCCCCGAGGGCCAGCCCGAACCCTTCCGCCAGACTGACGTTCGCACCCACGTCGTCTCCATTGCCGACGCCAAACGCGACGCCAAGCCCGACGCAGCACCCACGTCATCTCCGACTCAGGCGCCGCCGACGCCGAACCGACACCAAGCTGGATGGCCATGAGGGGGGTGAACGTCATGGCCGAGGAGGTGGAGGAGGCGATCGAGGAGGAGGATCAGCGCCACCGACACCATCCCCGAAGCCAGCAACGAAGTCAGCATCGACACCATCACAGATTCCAGCATCGATGCCAGTACTGACGCAATCATCGACGCCAGCATCGGAGACAATGTATGCCTCCGCATCAAAGTCAGCACCCACGCCAGCATGGACTCCAGCACCCCCGTCAGCATCGACAACAGTACAGACCCTACCATCGACGCCAGCACCGACGCCAGTATCAAGCACAGCATCGGCGACAGCATCGAGGACAGCATCGACCCAAGCATCAGTGCCAGCATGGACGTCATCACCGACACGAGCACTGCCCCCAGCATCAACGCCAGCATCGACGCTAGGACCGACAACAGCATCGGCGCCGGCATCGAAGACACCATCGAGTATGGCACCGAAACCAGCGTCGACTGCAGCACCTACACCAGGAACGACCCCAACATCGACCCCAGCACCGACGCCACAATCAGCCCCAGCACCAATGCCAGCATCGAAGACTGCACTGACTCCAGCACCAGAGCACCCACGTCATCGCCAACAACACCATCGGCTCCAGCACCGACGCCAGCACCCAAGTCAGCATTGACCCCCGCATCGTAGACAGCAATGACCCTACCATCAGAACCAACAGCGACGTCAGTATCGACACCAGCCAGCACCGACTCCACCATCAAAGCCATCGATCACGACAGCATCGACGCCCGCATCGACGCCAGCACCGAAGGCAGTCTGGACCCTACCCTCGAAACCAGCATCGACGTCAACACCAACACCAGTACTGACCCCAGCATCGACTTTTGTACCAACGTCAGCGTTGACGCCAGCAGCGACGCCAGCATCGACACCAGCATCGGCCCAAACACCGAAGACAGTAGTGACCCCAGCACCGAAGACAGCATCGACTCCAGCACAGGAGCCTGCATCGACGTCCGCACCGCCGCCAGCATCGACCCAGGCCCCAGTATTGCATATTGCAGCCAGCACCGAGCATTGACGCGCGCATCGAGGACAGCGACTCCAGTACTGGACCCCGCATCCACGCCAGTACCGACACCACCACCGACCCCAGCCCTCACCACAGCATCGACGCCAGCATCGACGCCAGCTCTAATGTCAACATCGAAACCCACACCGACGCCACCATCGTCTACAGCGCTGACCTCAGCACCGACGCCAGTAACGATCATTCTGGCCATCATGCTATTCGCCACGCGGTCGGGACACGATGGCTTGCACAACAAGGCTTCGAAGTGTGTGGCGGTACCGATGCGAGTACTGACCCCAGCATCGACGCCAGCAAAAGCGCCGCCATCGTCCCCAGCACCAACGCCAGCAGCCCGCCAACATCGACCCCCGCATCGACGCTAACATCGACGCAGGCTCTGGAGCCTGCATCGACGTCCGCACCGATGCCAGCATCGACTCCAGCAGCGATTCCAACACCGACGGCATCATCTACGCCGGCATCGGCGCGCGCACTGCGGACAGTAAGTATAGAATACAGCTCCAGAGCCCGCATCCACACCAGCATCGACACAACCAACGACCTCAGCAGCGAAGACAGCATCGACGGCATCATCTATACCAGCCTCAACGTCATCATCAACACCGACACCGACGCCAGCATCCTCTAACGTGCCGACCTCAGCACCGACGCCAGCATCCGTTCCAGCATCGAGGACAGCATTAACCCCAGCATCAGTGCAAGCGCCGACGTCAGCACGGACACGAGCACTGCCCCCAGCTTCAACGCCATTACCGACAAGAGCATTGGAGACGCTGTCGACTACAGCATCAGCACCAGCATCGACGCAAGCATCGACACTAGCATCGACTGGAGCACTGAAGCCAACATCGACGCCAGCAACGATCCCACATCGACGCCAGCACCGACGCCAGCAATGGCACCAGCACCGAAGACAGCAGTGACCCGAGTACCGCAGCCAGCATGAGCGAGCACCGACGGGAATACCGACCCCAGCACCGACACCAATTCCGACCTTAGCACCTTAGCATCCACCCCAGCATCAGCGCAGGCAGCAAAGACGGCAGTGACTCCATCACCAGAGCAAGCATCGACACATACAGAGGACAGCACCGACTCCAGCACAGGGGCCTGCATCGACGTGCGCGCCTACGCCAGCATCGACCCCAGCATCGACGCGACTAACGACGCCAGCATCGGAACAAACACTGAAGACAGTAGCGACCCCAGTGCCACAGCCAGCATCCACACCAGCATCGACACCAGTACGGACCATATCACTGACCCCAGCACCGACGCCAACATCGACCTCAACATCAACGCCGTCATCGAAGATGGCACGGTCTCCAGCACCGGGGCCAGCATTTACGCCATCACAAACACCAGCATCGACTGCAGCATCGATAACAGCATGGCTCTCGAGCCTGGCACGACTGCTGGCTCCCAACGCGCCACATCCACGGATGAGAGGCAAAACCAGCGGCTGCGGACAGCAGCACCATGACGGCGCCCTACTCCGCCCCCCCACCAGACGCCCCACCCAGTGAACAGCAGCAGCACCACGTGCACTGCGACTCCGACCAGCAGCAGCGCCACGACGTCAACCAGCAGAACTGCCACCAAGGCGGAGACCAGCACTCACTACCACGAGGTGAATGGCCTGAGCTGCGACCAGCAGCGCCACAGCGTCTGATGCCCTGCCAACACCCCTGCCCCTTGGCCAGCGCAGTTCTCGGCTCCCAGGGGCGGCTACTAGGCCCAAGCGCCCAAACACAGGTAACTTCAACGGCCTCAGCGGTGGCCTTCGGCTGCGCGGCCTGCCCGGCAGCTGCCAGACCTCCGCCGCTCTAACCCACCACCCTCGACTCCCAACGCCACCATACTTACAGCATTCAGGGCACGCCGTCTTCCACGATGGCGCCTCCCTGCACCCGCGCGGCCCCGACGGCTGGGACGACCGCGCGTCCTCCCACGGCCTCATCGGCGTGCCACCCTCCCATCGGGGGAGGGGACTGGCGGCCCTGGGGGGGGGGGCTTGTGCCGGGCCCGCCGCGGCCCGCGGCTGCAGTGCCTCAGGGGGGGAGCAGCGGGCCCCCCCCCCTTGGCCCAACGCTCCCCCCGGGGGCGCCAGGAGGGAGGGATGAGTGTGGAGGTGAGGTGCAGGAGGAGGAGCCGCGACCAGACTGCGGGCGACGGCCCCGACTGGCGCACCACAAGGTGCTGCTGGGGGAGGGGCCCGCAGACTGATCAACCCCCCCAAGGGCGAATGGCCCTGGAGCGGGGGGGGGATGGCCAGCTCAGGATGACCTCACGGCCGAAAGAGAGAGAGAGAGAGAGAGAGGGAGCGAGAAGGGGGAGGGGGAGGAGGAGGAGGAGGAGGAGGAGGAGGAGGAGGAGGAGGAGGTCCTCCCCTCGAGCCAGCGAGCGGGTCTTCTGCACCGACGCGTCCGACAGGCTGCCCAGCATCCGCCCGCCGTCGCCTGCCTCGCCCGCGGGCGCGCGAGGCCCGCTCTCCGCGGCGGGCCTGCTGTCGGCGGGGGCGAGGCCAACACTGATGCCGCGGCCCTCCTCTCGTCTGCGCGCACGAGGTGGCCCTGGGCAAGTGTGGCCTCTGGTGCGCGGGGGATCGAGTCCAAGCGTGCTGGCAGGTGCCAGGGGGGACCCCTGTGAGCCCGCACCACAGGCCACTCCGGCGAAGGGCCACTCTTACGCGAAGCCGATCCTCGTCCTCTCCGACCTGCTCGTGGCCCTGCTCGTGGCCCTGCTGGGCGGCGGGGCCGCCGCCGGGGGCCTGCGCCCCCTCGAGCTGCTGCGCGGCAACGGCGGGGCGCGCGGCCAGCTCCGTGCCAAGCTGCTGGTGGAGTCGCCGAAAGCACCCGAAGGCCTCGTACACCATCCGCAGGCTCGAGACCTCGATCTCCTGGAGCTCCCCGTCCAAATACATCTTGACCTTCTCCTCCAGCTCCCTGATCTCGTCGGGGTTGTACTCCTCGTACTGCACTCGGGACCGCCCGGCCAGGGTGTCGTGCATCGCGAGCTCCTGCTTGAGGTCCTTGATCTGGCGCTCGTACTTCCTGATCAGCAGCGCGGGGTCCAGGTGCACGTTGACGGAGGCCTCGTTGGACACCCGCATCATGCGGGTGGCGAAGCGGAGCGTGCTGGCGGTCTCCTGCAGCATCTTGGCCTCTGGCCAGACGTTGGCGACCATGGTCGTCTTGCAGTTGCCGCCGAGCGAATCCTTCAGCAAGTGTGTCAGCTTCGACTGCCGATACGGCACGTGGTCGCGGTGCTTGTTGCCGAGCGCAACCACGACCTGTTCCAGGAAAGTGAGCGACTTGTTGATGTGCGTCGCCTCGTGCAAGATCACGCCGTCCGAGCCCGTCTTCTTGACACGCTCGCTGCCCGCGAGGTCCACGAGGTGCAGCTTCGAGTATATCACCTTCTCGCTCGACTCCACGCGCGAGCGGCTCTCCACGTGGATGGTGAATACCACGTGGGAGCGCGTGGAACCCTTGTTCAGGGCGTGCTCCGCGACGTGCCGGTTGGTGTCCCCCTGGAAGAAGACGTGGAGAGCCTCCTCCTCCGAGCCAGCGACCGGCGCCGAGAGACCCCTGGCCTGGATGTTCCCGCGCGAGTCCTCCACGATGGTGATGTCGCCAGACTGGTCGGAGACGGCCACGTCCCGCAGGAGGTCGAACATCAGCTCGTTGTAGATCTCCAGGTAGGAGAGCCGCACGGTGACGCTGCTCTCCGGGCGGGCCGCGGCCTCCGAGAAGATGAGCGAGATGGCGCGGGGCACGATGCCTCGGTCTGCGAAGCCGACGTGGCCGCCGGTCATCGTGTGCGTCTTCCCGGCGCCCGTCTGGCCGTAGGCCAGGATCGTGCCGTTGTAGCCATCCATCACGGAGCGCACGACGTCCGCCGCGCAGCACTCAAAGACCTGCTCCTGGCTGGCGTTGGAGAGGACCTTGTCGAGCTTGAAGTGCCAGGCCTCCTGCTGGTTGTTGACGTGCCCGGCGGTCTCGTCCTTGGGCAGCCGCATGTCGATGCTGTCCGAGGCCTCGTGGAACTCGAAGTTCTGGCTCGCGTAGCTCGCCGTTGGGCGAGCGCGCACCACGACCCTCACGTTCGAGCGACCCATGGCGGCCCGCCCGCCCGCCGCAGCTCCGAGGGCCACGGGCCCTGCGCGCCGGTTGATGGGGGGATGCCCACGGGCCCAGGCCGGCCCAGCTCTCGCGCGCAGGCCCCGAGTGGCCTTGGAGCCAAAAGTGGCTGCGGAGCGGAGGAGCACCGGCACGGCCAGCACCACCGAGGGGCTGGGGGCTCTGCAGCCACCGTGCTGCCACGGGGGACGCCAGGCAGGGGCGACGGCGAGCCTCGGTCACGAACAGCTCCCCTGGCCTGGCATCCCGGGGGCGGCCCGAACACTGGGGCCCCTCCTGAGCCCAGAGTGGTGCTCCTTTCAACGTCTTGACTGTGTTCGGTCGAGGGGCTCAGGACGGATCCGTCAGCGCAGATCCTGGCATAATGTGCAACACGGAGGGGCCCTCTGGGCCAATGGTGGCGACCGAAATCCTCCACAGGGGCCTCCAACTCCATCCAGGGGATCGGCAACCAAGGGGCATTGAGGAGCGGGTCGCACTCCCGCCTCCAGAGCCTCCTGAATTAGGTCCTGATCAAGACTCCCTCCTCCCTCCACTTCCTCCTCCTCCGATTCCTGAATCACACATCTGGCCACGTCGATTCCTCTTCCTCCTCCGCCTCCTCCTCCTCCTCCTCGTCGTCCTCCTCCTCCTCCTCCTGCTCCTCCTCCAACTCCTTGTCCTCCTCCTCCTCCTCCTCCTCCTCCGCCTTCTCCTGCACTCTTTGTCCGTATAAAAAAACTCCTCCCTGTCACATCCCGAAGCCGGTCGAGAAGGAGGGCCAGGCACTTCGCTTGAGACATCCTTACCATGTATGATCCTGAAGCTTCAACTGCAACAGTTTCACGGACGGAGGGCTGGTCGTTTTCAAAATGTGGCTCCCGCCTAAGCGCGACGCACATCCTCTGATTTGCAAGAGTTTCACGGGTGGAGGACAGCGCCGTGCACATCCGTCTGAAACAATTTCAAGCACTTCACGGATGGAAGGCGAGCCGTTTTCACAGTGTGACTTTCGCCTCGGCGCCGCGCACACTCGTCTGAAAAGTGTAAGAGCTTCACGGATGGAGGGCGGTTCCTTTTCAACATGTGGCTCTCTCCTGAGCGCCGCGCGCATTCATTCCCCACGTGTTTCGTGGGGTTCTGGTTTTCTTCTCTGCCGCGGCGCACCCGCGTCTCCTCACCTCCCCTTCTCCTCTTCATTCCTCTCCTCAACCCGCGGTCAACACATGCACGGCAAGTACATGAGACACGCGTCTACATACAGCCGCACGCATGCACACACTCGCACACACAAGACGCATGTTCACTGCATCATACACCCAAGACGTCTGCACAATCCGTGAGGGTCGTCCAGGGCACAGCAGGCATGGCATATTCTCGACACCATAGGGGGTGCGCAGGGGGTGGTCTCTCACCGCGGCCGCTATCCGTGACGGTCGTCCAGGGCATAGCAGGCAGGGCATATTCTCGACACCAGAGGGGGTGCGCAGGGGGCAGGGGGTGGTCTCTGACCGCGGCCGTTATCCGTGACGGTCGTCCAAGGCACAACAGGCATGGCATATTCTCGACACCACAGGGAGTGCGCAGGGGGTGGTCTCTCACCGCGGCCGCTATCCGTGACGGTCGTCCAGGGCACAGCAGGCATGGCATATTCTCGACACCATAGGGGGTGCGCAGGGGGTGGTCTCTCACCGCGGCCGCTATCCGTGACGGTCGTCCAGGGCACAGCAGGCATGGCATATTCTCGACACCATAGGGGGTGCGGGGGTGGTCTCTCACGGCCGCTATCCGTGACGGTCGTCCAGGGCACAGCAGGCATGCCATATTCTCGACACCAGAGGGGGTGCGCAGGGGGTGGTCTCTCACCGCGGCCGCTATCCGTGACGGTCGTCCAGTGCACAGCAGGCATGGCATATTCTCGATACCGGAGGGGGTGCGCAGGGGTTGGTCTCTCACCGCGGCCGCTATCCGTGACGGCGGTGCTCAGGGCACAGCAGGCATGGCATATTCTCGACACCAGAAGGACAGCAGGAATGGCATACTCTCGACACCATAAAGGGGTGCGCAGGGGGTGGTCTCTCACCGCGGCCGCTATCCGTGACGGTCGTCCAGTGCACAGCAGGCACGGCATATTCTCGACACCAGAAGGTGTGCCCAGGGGGTGGTCTCTCACCGCGGCCGCTATCCGTGACGGTCGTCCAGGGCACAGCAGGCATGGCATATTCTCGACACCAGAGGGGGTGCGCAGGGGGTGGTCTCTCACCGCGGCCGCTATCCGTGACGGTCGTCCAGGGCAGAGCAGGCATGGCATATTCTCGACACCAGGGGGTGCGCAGGGGGTGGTCTCTCACCGCGGCCGCTATCCGTGAGGGTCGTCCAGGCACAGCAGGCATGGCATATTCTCGACACCATAGGGGGTGCGCAGGGGGTGGTTTCTCACCGCGGCGTTATCCGTGACGGTCGTCCAGGGCATAGCAGGCATGGCATATTCTCGACACCAGAGGGGGTGCGCAGGGGGTGGTCTCTCACCGCGGCCGCTATCCGTGACGGTCGTCCAGGGCACAGCAGCATGGCATATTCTCGACACCATAGGCATCCGTGATTGGACACCATAGGGGGTGCGCAGGGGGTGGTCTCTCACCGCGGCCGCCATCCGTGACGGTCGTCCAGGGCACAGCAGGCATGGCATATTCTCGACACCAGAGGGGGTGCGCAGGGGGTGGTCTCTCACCGCGGCCGCTATCCGTGACGGTCGTCCAGGGCACAGCAGGCATGGCGTATTCTCGACAACATCGGGGGTGCGCAGGGGGTGGTCTCTCACGACACCGTAGGGGGTGCGCAAGGGGTGATGTGATGTCCGAGTGCGGCCGCTATCAATGACGGTCGTCCTGGGCATAGCAAGAATGGCATCTTCTCGACATTGTGGGGGGGCGCAAGGGGTGGTCTCTCAGCGCGGCCTCTATCCGTGACGGCGGTGCTCAGGGCACATCGGTACGCAAGTTTCCTATCCGGACCGGTCGCGTTCAGGTCCAAAACCCTGCAGAAGTTCGATGCGCGCATGGCCACGGAGACGCGGGAGATCGAGGAACTGGCTCAGGAACGCCAATGGATCCTGCCGGCGGCGTGAGGTCGTTGGAGCGCACGGGCGCCGGAGTCTTTCCGACGAAGGCAGCGCTGTCCAGCTGCATCGAATTCGCGCGGCCCGTGCCGCTCCTGGGCGATTTCGGAGCGTCCGCCCAGCTTCGGGTGTCGTGGCAACCGCAGCCCAGAGATTTTCCATCGAAGGGCACTTGCATTTTGCACGCAGGCGGGTCATGTTTGCCATGCAAGTCTTTTGCGCGCTTACCTCGGAGACTCTCCGTCGAAGAGACGCGGCGACACACGTGTGGAAACTGCATGATATCATAAAAAGTAGGCCGACCGAGGAAAGAAAGGGAGGCCAGGGTGCGGAAGCACGCAGCATGAGGCGAGGGGGAAAGGATAGCTCTAGAGGCTCCCTAGAGCGTCTGTGCAAGGGGTGTGATTTGCACCAACTTCCACAGTGGGCCCCCTGACTACTCGAGCTGTGGCAAATCGTTTTGCATCACCTCATTGGTTGTTGCGACCCCGGGAAACGGCCCTCGGTGACCACCTCGATTTTTTTCCCGATGCAGGATGGAAGGCGGGGAAGAGGGAGGATGTTCAATCAGTAGTGTGATGGATGACAAAATAGGGAAACATTCGCGACGAGGGTTTAGAACGCAGGATTGCGCATGTATGAAAATGAAAAGCAAACACATAAGATTAAACATCGGTATGTGGGGTTCCTCGGTAGCGTAATTTTCGGAATTTACAGCAGTTTCAAGGATTCGCATGGCCAACGTCTCAGACATGATGCTTTGGCACGATGTCGGACTGTCAGGGCGCAACAATTATCTTGGTTCGTGGTTATGAAGTCCCAGGAATGTCGTTCTGGCACGATTCAGGATCGCCAAGACGCAACAATTACGCTACCGAGGAACCCCACATACTTAATTTAAATCTTATGTGTTTGCTCCGCTGAGAGGCCGCGCTGAGAGACCACCCCCTGCGCACTCGCTATGGTGTCGAGAATATGCCATGCCTGCTGTGCCCTGGACGACCGTCACGGATAGCGGCCGCGGTAAGAGACCACCCCTTGTGCACCCCCTATGGTGCCGAGCCGTGCCATCCCTGCTATGCCCTGGACGACCGTCACGGATAGCGGCCGCGGTGAGAGACCACCCCCTGCGCACCCCCTCTGGTGTCGAGAATATGCCATGCCTGCTGTGCCCTGGGCGACCGTCACGGATAGCGGCCGCGGTGAGAGACCGCCCCCTGCGCACCCCCTCTGGTGTCGAGAATATGCCATGCCTGCTGTGCCCTGGACGACCGTCACGGATAGCGGCCGCGGTGAGAGACCACCCCCTGCGCACCCCCTCTGGTGCCGAGAATATGCCATGCCTGCTGTCCCTCTGCTGTCGAGAATATGCCATGCCTGCTGTGCCCCGGACGACCGTCACGGATAGCGGCCGCGGTGAGAGACCACCCCCTGCGCACCCCCATATGGTGTCGAGAATATGCCATGCCTGCTGTGCCCTGGACGACCGTCACGGATAGCGGCCGCGGTGAGAGACCACCCCCTGCGCACCCCCTCTGGTGTCGAGAATATGCCATGCCTGCTGTGCCCTGGACGACCGTCACGGATAGCGGCCGCGGTGAGAGACCACCCCCTGCGCACCCCCTATGGTGTCGAGAATATGCCATGCCTGCTGTGCCCTGGACGACCGTCACGGATAGCGGCCGCGGTGGGAGACCACCCCCTGCGCACCCCCTGGTGTCGAGAATATGCCATGCCTGCTGTGCCTTGGACGACCGTCACGGATAGCGGCCGCGGTGAGAGACCACCCTCTGCGCACCCCCTCTGGTGTCGACAAGATGCCATGCCTGCTGTGACGACCGTCACGGATAGCGGCCGCGGTGAGAGACCACCCCCTGCGTACCCCCTACTGGTGTAGCGATATGCCATGCCTGCTGTGCCCTGGACGACCGCGCACGGATATGCGCCTGCCGCGAACGGATAGAGACCACCCCCTGCGCACCACCATGCCTGACGACCGTCACGGATAGCGGCCGCGGTGAGAGACCACCCCCTGCGCACCCCCTATGGTGTCGAGAATATGCCATGCCTGCTGTGCCCTGGACGACCGTCACGGATAGCGGCCGCGGTGAGAGACCACCCCCTGCGCACCCCCTATGGTGTCGAGAATATGCCATGCCTGCTGTGCCCTGGACGACCGTCACGGATAGCGGCCGCGGTGAGAGACCACCCCCTGCACCCCATGGTGTCGAGAATATGCCATGCCTGCTGTGCCCTGGACGACCGTCACGGATAGTGAGAGACCACCCCCTGCGCACCCCCTATGGTGTCGAGAATATGCCATGCCTGCTGTGCCCTGGACGACCGTCACGGATAGCGGCCGCGGTGAGAGACCACCCCCTGCGCACCCCCTATGGTGTCGAGAATATGCCATGCCTGCTGTGCCCTGGACGACCGTCACGGATAGCGGCCGCGGTGAGAGACCACCCCCTGCGCACCCCCTATGGTGTCGAGAATATGCCATGCCTGCTGTGCCCTGGACGACCGTCACGGATAGCGGCCGCGGTGAGAGACCACCCCCTGCGCACCCCCTATGGTGTCGAGAATATGCCATGCCTGCTGTGCCCTGGACGACCGTCACGGATAGCGGCCGCGGTGAGAGACCACCCCCTGCGCACCCCCTATGGTGTCGAGAATATGCCATGCCTGCTGTGCCCTGGACGACCGTCACGGATAGCGGCCGCGGTGAGAGACCACCCCCTGCGCACCCCCTATGGTGTCGAGAATATGCCATGCCTGCTGTGCCCTGGACGACCGTCACGGATAGCGGCCGCGGTGAGAGACCACCCCCTGCGCACCCCCTATGGTGTCGAGAATATGCCATGCCTGCTGTGCCCTGGACGACCGTCACGGATAGCGGCCGCGGTGAGAGACCACCCCCTGCGCACCCCTATGGTGTCGAGAATATGCCATGCCTGCTGTGCCCTGGACGACCGTCACGGATAGCGGCCGCGGTGAGAGACCACCCCCTGCGCACCCCCTATGGTGTCGAGAATATGCCCTGCCTGCTATGCCCTGGACGACCGTCACGGATAGCGGCCGCGGTGAGAAACCACCCCCTGCGCACCCCCTATGGTGTCGAGAATATGCCATGCCTGCTGTGCCCTGGACGACCCTCACGGATTGTGCAGACGTCTTCGGTGTATGATGCAGTGAACATGCGTCTTGTGTGTGCGAGTGTGTGCATGCGTGCGGCTGTATGTAGACGCGTGTCTCATGTACTTGCCGTGCATGTGTTGACCGCGGGTTGAGGAGAGGAATGAAGAGGAGGAGGGGAGGTGAGGAGACGCAGGTGCGCCGCGGCAGGGAAGAAAACCAGAACCCCACGAAACATGTGGGAATAACGGTGATTCGCGTTGGTGAAATTCCAGGAACGGCGTTCTGGCACAATTCAGAATTTCCAAGCGGTTATTTACCAATGAGTGAAAATCCGCCGATCCGGCGTGTGAGTTTCGAAGACCCTCAGATATAGCCTGAGCCTCAGTTCTTGAGCTTCAGCTCTGCAGAGGGGGTGGGTGCCAGGGTGGCTCTGCCGGGGTAAGGGGGGGGTGGTTCCGAATCAATTTTGGTGGCGAAATCGGAGCTCCAGCTCACTCCGGGTCGGCCCCTCGCCACGGAGAGCCCCAACGCGGGCTCATAAAAAACCCATCGGCCGCCCAGACGGCCCAAGAGGGCCCTGAGTGGCCGAAACATCGTTCCAAGACACTCAATATGTTCCTTAGACGGCTCCAGAAACCTCCAACGTACCCTCCCGACACCTCCCAAGAGTGCCCAAAGATGGAAAATCTGTCCCATTCCCTCAAGGAAACGTGTTTGTTGTTTTTATGTTTTTTGTTTTTGCATTTTCGCTTATTCGGCCTTCGCAGTGTCCAACACGGCCTAAGAGACCCCCAAAACAGGCCCAGAGGCTCTCAAGAGGGCCCCAAGTCGGCCCAAGAATGGCCCAAGACGGCCCTGGAGGCCCCTAAGACAGCCCAAGCGGGCCCCAGCACGGGCCCAAGAAGTGCCCAAGAGGGCCCCATGACGGCCCCAGCAGGCCCAAGACGGCCCAAGAGGCGCCCAGGAGGCACCAAAATGGCCCTAGGAGTCCCCAAGAAACCCCGAGATGCTCAAAGTGGCCCTCAAGAGGCCCCCAAAAGCGCTCCCGAAGGCTTAAAAATCACCTCCTACACACCCCCAAGAAGGCTTCCAGGATGCCTCCTGCATGCCCTCCAAGAAGCCCAAATGGCCCCCAAGAGGCTCAACAATCACCTCCAAGACGCCCCCCAGGAGGCCTCGAAGATGCGTCGTAGAGGCCCCTCAAGAAGCCCACGCAATGCCTCCAAGCTGTTTCCAAACCACTTACGTTTAAACAAGCGCGCTGGGGCGAAATCGTTCTTCTGACAGCGGGATCGTCCCGGATCGGCGGCACCGGCCAGAGGCCTCTACAAAAAATTCTTGTAGGCGTCTATACAGGTGGAACTTGGAGGAAGGGTTTGTTACACTATCGTTGACGAGTCTTGGGTTTGCACTGGTCCTCCTCCTCCTCCTCCTTGTCCGCCTCGTCCTCCTCCTCCTCCTCCTCCTCCTCCTCCTCTTCCTTGTCCGCCTTCTTGTCCGCCTCCTCCTCTTCCTCCTCCTCCGCCTCCTTCTCCTCCACGAGGCGCCCCTCCACCCGGGCTCCGGATGAGCCACAGCAAGCGGATGATGCGCAGCGAGATCGTGGCGGCCGCGCCGGAGCTGTAAGCCTCCTCGGGCATGAACGTGCTCCTGCGCGCCAGGCCGTGTGCGACGGCTGCATCGACGGCGAGGAGGACGACCTCGAGGTCGACGGCCTCGACGACAAGGAGGAGAGGAAGACGAAGGCAACCTCGAGGTCGACGGCGACGCCGACGATGCCGGCAACGACGAGGAACGATGGGCGCAGACTATACACCTAAGAGCACTTATCTTGGCCAGACCCATACTGGGCCCAAGATCGGCGTCTGCGCCATCCTGCCCTCGGCAGGAGGCATATGCACCTATCCTGAGCCCAGGACGGCCCCAGCAAGTGTCGGTGCCAGTGCATAATTGGCGCCGTCTGGCGATGCTGGCCCCGACCCCCCTCCCGCCTCTGCTTCCGCCAGTGCGACGGGGAGGGACGGGCCAGACAGAGACGCGGCAGAGGCGGTCCGGCAGGGTCAATCCCAGGATGTGCAGCGCGGGCGGCGAAGGGCTCGATAGGGATGGGAGGGCCAGGCGTTGGCGTTGGCGAGGCCCTGGGGCAGAAGAGGCTGCTGCGCATGATCGAGAAGATTCGTCCTCCGTACTGCTCCGCCGCGAGATCAGCGTTTCTTGCCACACCCGCCAGCCCTCAGAGGTGGCGCCCTCTGGCCTCAAGAGGCCCCCAGGGTGGCGCCATGGGCGGACCAGGGGGGGGGGGATGGGGCGCTCGAACTCCTGTCTAGCTAGTTTGTTCATAACACCACAGCCACAACAAGGGCCACCACGTGAGGAACGATGCCACTAGCTTCAGCTTGCCTCTGGAGCTCTGCGAGGGACCACATATGCCCTGCGCCCGAATTCCTCTGAAGCCCTGGCCATGATTCCCCCACCCCCTAATCATCGCCCCCCCTCGTCCGCTCCCCCCCACCCCTGGATGGGGCCGAGCGCACCTCGGCACCGAGCCTGGGCAGGCCCATGCCAGGCCTGAGATGTGCCTCCGTACCCTCCCAGCCTGGCTGAGCCACGCCGCGGCTTACACGGGCCACAAGCGCGGCACGCCACGCTGAAGACGAGGGCGCTGACGCGTGACCTTACGCGGGCAGCTTGCGCGCCACTGTCGGCGAAGACGACCCCTTCTTTGGCGTCGCTCAAATGATCACTCACTTTCAGACTCCATGCGGAGCCGATCCAGCGGCCCCTGCTGGCTCTCCAGCTGCCGGCGTTCACCGCCTCACTTCCCCTCGACGCTGTGGAGAAAACGACTCAGGCAGGCACGCAGCAGGGTGGCCTGGTCATCTCGAGGAAGCCGGGCAGGATCGCCAACATGTCGATTATGTTGAAGACATCGGTGACGAACGCCTGCCGATCCCAACAAGAAAAATCTCTATGAAGTGGGCCGACCTCAAGAACGCGGCCTCCCGCCACGCACACAGACGAGGAACAACACATACAGTCATACAGTCATAACTTGTCGAATGTCCACGCGGATTTATTATGTCGGCGCTGGCCCTCCCTGGCGCCAGGGAATGGGGGGTCCAGCGCCGACCCAAGCAGTCTGGGCGGGCCTCCGACAGGTTGTGTTTGTGTCGTGTTCTGCACTCCTGGCGCAGCCTGAGCCTGGAAACCGGCTGCAACGAAGGGGGTAACGCGCTTGCGGATCGCCGTCGACCTGAGCACTCCGAGTCGCAGAAGCGGCCGCGCCACTGGCGCGCCTGCCTCTCAGCGCCGTCGCTCGCGAAGCCGTCGCCCCGAGCACGAGGCCGCTGGACCACACGTCGTGGGGAATGCGCAGCCGAGGGCGTGGGGCCAGACCGTGGCAGGGCGGCGGGGGGCTGCGCTCTGGATGGCCTCGTGAGCGCCGGGGGCGTGCCTGGGCGGGGAGAGGGCGCCACGCGAGCCGTGCGCGCACTGCGAGCTCCGCAATGCAGGGGGGGGGGGGGGGGGCGGGGGGCGCGTCCTCCTCGCCGACGGCCCCACATCCATCCCCGTCGCGGACAGCCGCTGCGCGCCGAATGCGACTCAGCACGATGCGCGGCGCGCCGTCGAGGCGAAGCTGACACCCGTTGGGGAGAGGGGGGGAGGCCACGCAGACGCAGCGTCTTGCCTCTGCCAGGCGTAGGCGGGCATCCCCAAACTTCGCAAGTGGTGCAGCTCCCCACGGGGAAGAGGTGCCACGTGAAGCGCGCACGCTCCCTGGACGGTTTTGACTGGATCGCTCGGGGGGCACAAGGGTGTTCGATCGCGTCGGGGATTGTTTCGGCGCCCGTGGGAGGCGGCGCTTGAACGGAATGTCGAGCGGGGTGGCGTGGAGTGGGGGCTGATTACACCATCTGGAATAGGCATGCCCGAAAACCAGAAGAGAAAGAATATCGTACACACTCCTGCGGACAATCCTCGAGGAGGTCCATGTCTGTGTGCGCCATGCCTTTGCAGGGAATAGGCCACCACAACGTCCGAGGTACATACGCACCGTCGCAGTCCGCGCTCCGCAACCTCAGTACTGCCCATTGTCTGCGTATTGCCCTGCTCTTCGTCGCCTCCTCTTCTTTTCTCTGGCTCCCGCGTTGTAGAAATTCTGGGCTTGTCTGACTATCGCAACTAAAGGCGATCCTAACTCCACTATGCTAACGAATCAGCCCACGCCGCCTCGCCTTCGGCGGGGCCGCGTCCAGGAGCGCTCGCGCTGGGTATCTCTTTCTCTCTCTTTCTCTTTCTCTTTTCTCTTTATGTTTGTTTGTTTGTTTGTTTGTGTGCCTTTCTCTCTCTTGTTCCCTCTCCCTCGCCTCCCCCTCCTCTTCTCGCGTCTTTGCCGGGTATCTTCTATTACTCTCTCTCTCTCTCTCTGGCTCCCTCCCCTGGCCGCCCTCGATTATCGTCAGCTCTACCAATAATTTGCGGTTCCCAGAGAATGCGAGGGGCATGGAATGGACAATTTGTGCATACTGTTGCCTGCCCTTGCGTATGAATAAGACGAGCCACGAACACATCTCTGGTGCACCCTATGTTCCAAGTCTTGCATGCGGCCTCCGACTCCCTCACAAATTATGCGTGGCCTCCCCCATCCCTCCGCTGTACTTGAGCACGCACACCAGCGCAGGGCAAGCTCCAAGGTAAAAATGAAGGTGACAATCATCTCCCCTCCCGTGCTGCACTAGCGCGGTCAGAACGGAAGCGACATACGCGAACATTGTATACGGCCCGTGAGAACCAGAACCGCAAGTGCGCACTCACACCCGATCGGATGATTCGGCCCACGACTTGGAGGCATGGCGATGATGCCTGAACGCGCTTGTCACTCAGACATGCTCCAACATGCGCAGACATGCATGGTTTTTGTTCCGCGCCATGTTGCGTGACATGAATGCGCGAACCAGTGCGTGCGAGTTCGCCTGGCCGCTCGCGTGCCTGACTCGACCTGCCCAGAGTGTCATGGACCCCTCTAGTATCCATCCTGACGACGACGACGACGACGACGACGACGACGACGACGACGACGGCGAGGCAATCTGTTCTTTGCTGCGCGGGGCATGCCAGGGAGGGTACCCGCCGAGGGGCCCTGACCTGGCCACCTCCCCGCCTCGAGCCCTCCGAACAGGCCCGCGCGGCTGTCCCGGACATCCGGTACCGTCTCCACGATCACCACCACGGTAGACACCTCGGGGCGTCAAAACACGCGGGGGCAGCTTTTCCAGCTTCTCTGAGGATCGGACTTCTCGAGAATCGAACTCTTCGAATGCCTAACTTTTCGACATTGTTGAACGCGTCCAGGCCCTTTTGGACCTCTTCGGGCCCGTGTTGACACCTCTGGCGACAGTGCACTTGGGGAGGATCGAGGATCGAGGATCGAGGTTGGTTTCGTCGTGTCGGAGGTTTTCGGGCGTGCCTTGGGGTTCTCGTATTCCAGAGCGGCTTCGGGACAGATTTGAGTTTGAGTGGATTCTGGGTCGATGGTCTAGACATTCGACATTTTGGGACGGTTGTATCATATCCAGGCCTCGTGGAAACACTTAGGGGGCAACGCAAGAGATGCGGCATGCGGCATGGCTCGAATGAGTGACTTCCCAGGCTTCCGACGGACGGATATTTCAATCCACGTGTCCCAAATGACCCCTTCCCCGATGACAGATTTCCTCCTTGATCCATTTCTGATGGCTACGTGGCCCGAACCGCTTCTAGAGGTAGTTTCTTTGGGGAGAACGCCGAGCTTGAAAATATCGATTCACCGGAGGTCTAAGCCTGAGTTGCAGGTGTGAGTCTACAGGATGGGCGCATCGTTGCCCCATGCGGGATGCCATTGAGTCGCGAACCGACGGTGCAAAGATAAGCGAAGCGCGCCACATACCTGTGGCGTGGCTGTGGGCGCACTTCATACTCGCGGTGCGGTGTCTGCGACGAAGCGTCCAGACAACACGCAAAGGATGTGTTCTTCAGGATGACGCCTATCTTGTGATCTCGTGGCGCTGTGAAATAGCAAGATTCACACAACTTCGCCCAATGGAATAAGCACTCAAACCAAAACGTATCATTCAGCCAGACCACGTAACGCTTCTCTGTCCATAGTTTGGACCGCGACCTCAGAAAGGCCAGCAAGTGCATTTCAGAATTAATCCGAAATGTTGTAGCGCAACGGGGCTGGAGAGCAACCTTACATCTCCATAATTAAGCTGGACATGCCAAGGTAAGGAATATTTGAACCCTGCCGAGGTGATGCTTCAAATGCTACTACTTGTGCTGATGCTATGACTGCTACTACTGCCGCTACTAACCATGTGCCACGGAGATTAATCCCACAGGGATAATAAAATTTTGGGTCGCGGGGGGATTATAAATGTAGCCTGCCGGAGGCCAGCATGTGGGAGGAGAAAGCGATGATGTTAAGAGGGCCGAAAACCGAGAATACTTCTCGAGCACGACGCGCTGCTCCATTGTCGGCTTGGAGCAGCTAACTATCTTGGAGAGCTCGAAATCTTGAGCCACAAAATGGCTACGGAGATTGTTGCTGTTCGTTTCGCTTGATACATTATACAATATTCGCTCGTTTCGTTTGAGACATCTTCAAGAAATTGTTCGGTTCGCTTGAGACGTCCTCGTTTTGAAAAGATTCTCAAACGCAGAGACAGAGACAGAGACATGACTATACATGTTTAAGACAGAGAGAGAGAGAGAGAGAGGCAGAGACAGAAATATACATATAGTCCGAGAGAGAGAGAGAGAGGAGTAGAGAAATATAGACAGACAACAGGAGAGAGGTGGAGGAGGAGGAGGAAGAGGAGGAGGAGGCGGAGAAAAGCCAAAGTTACAAACCTATTAAACTAGAACCACGCGCGCGCTTCGCGCGCTTAGGTTCTGTCGAGTCACAGACCCAGGAATCGTTGTGAGAAGAAATTGGTGACGCGAAGCGTCGTGGGGGCGTCCTTGGACGTCTGGGGTCTCCTGGGGCCTCTTGAGGGGCCTCCTGGGGGCCTCCTGGCGGCCTCTTGGGGCGGAAGGCTCGAGCTTGCGGTTCGTGGTCCCCCTCTGGGCCCCCTCTTGGGCCCGTCTTGGGGCCCTCTTGGGCCATCTTGGGCGCCTCTTGGGCCGTCTTGGGGCCCTCTTGGGCTGTCCTGGGGCCCTCTTGGAAGCTTCTTGGGCCGTCTTGGGGCGGTCTTGGGCGCCTCTTGGGCCGTCCTGTAACGTCGGAAAACCCAAAAGACAACTTTGTTGAAAATGTACGTTTTACGAAGGGAATGGGCCAATTTTTGCGTCTAGGGGCCCTCTTGGGACGCATGTTGGAGGCTTCTTGGGGCCTCTTGGGGGCGTCCTTGGACGTCTGGGGTCTCCTGGGGCCTCTTGAGGGGCCTCCTGGGGGCCTCCTGGCGGCCTCTTGGGGCGGAAGGCTCGAGCTTGCGGTTCGTGGTCCCCCTCTGGGCCCCCTCTTGGGCCCGTCTTGGGGCCCTCTTGGGCCATCTTGGGCGCCTCTTGGGCCGTCTTGGGGCCCTCTTGGGCTGTCCTGGGGCCCTCTGGGAAACTTCTTGGGCCGTCTTGGGGCGGTCTTGGGCGCCTCTTGGGCCGTCCTGTAACGTCGGAAAGCCCAAAAGGCGACTTTGTTGAAAATGTGCGTTTTACGAAGGGAATGGGCCAATTCTTGCGTCTAGGGGCCCTCTTGGGACGCATGTTGGAGGCTTCTTGGAGCCTCTTGGGGGCGTCCTTGGACGTCTGGGGTCTCCTGGGGCCTCTTGAGGGGCCTCCTGGGGGCCTCCTGGCGGCCTCTTGGGGCGGAAGGCTCGAGCTTGCGGTTCGTGGTCCCCCTCTGGGCCCCCTCTTGGGCCCGTCTTGGGGCCCTCTTGGGCCATCTTGGGCGCCTCTTGGGCCGTCTTGGGGCCCTCTTGGGCTGTCCTGGGGCCCTCTGGGAAGCTTCTTGGGCCGTCTTGGGGCGGTCTTGGGCGCCTCTTGGGCCGTCCTGTAACGTCGGAAAGCCCAAAAGACAACTTTGTTGAAAATGTACGTTTTACGAAGGGAATGGGCCAATTTTTGCGTCTAGGGGCCCTCTTGGGACGCATGTTGGAGGCTTCTTGGGGCCTCTTGGGGGCGTCCTTGGACGTCTGGAGGCCATCTTCAGCATCTCGGAGCCCTCTTGGAGGCCTCTTGAAGGTTTCTTGGGCCGTCTTGGGCGCTTCTTGGGCCGTCTTGTCTGACTGGGGAGGCCTCCGGCAAGCCCCGACGAGCCTCCGGGCCCCCCGGGGCGCACATTTGTGGTCGAGGTCCCGGCCCCGGGCCCCCGGACCCGGTGCGCCGATATATGTATATTTAATTCGTAAACAAACAATGGAAATTGAGATTTTCATCTGCTCGTGTAGGGTAGGTAGCTCACGCGCCTCGGTTCTCGTGGATAGTGAACCACAGCAATAAAAACAGTTCAGGGTGCCAGGGAGAGAAGGAGTAAGACATATAGAGACAGAGACAGAAATATACATATAGTTCGACAAAGAGAGAGAGAGAGAGAGAGAGAGAGAGAGAAAAAAAAAAAAACAGTAGAGAAATATAGACAGACAGAAGGAGAGTGAGAGAGAGAGAGAGGAGGAGGAGGAGGAAGAGGAGGAGGAGGAGGAGGAGGAGGAGAAAAGCCAAAGTTACAAACCTGTTAAATTTAATTTGTAAACAAACAATGGAAATTAAGATTTTCATCTGCTCGTGTAGGGTGTCTCATGTGCCTCGGTTCCCGTGGATAGTAAACCACAGCGATGAAACAAAGTTCAGGGGGCCAGGGGGAGAAAGAGAAAGACAGAGAGAGAGAGAGACAGAGACAAAGAGAGAGAGAGAGAAATAGAGATAGAGAGAAATATAGAGAGATATAGAGATAGAGAGAGAGAGAGAAACAGAAAGCGAGAGAGGAGCAGGAGGAGGAGGAGAAGGAGGAGGAGGATGAGAAAATCCAAAGTTCCAAACCTATGATTTTCGACAACGTCTTCGCTTCGCTTGATGTTGCTATCTCACATAAGAAGGAACTTAACCTCGATGGTGAATTTTTCACAGTGATAAAAAAGTTCCGCCTCCGCGCCCCGCGCCCCTGACCAAACTATTCTTGGCCGTGGATAGTCAACTCTAGCGTGGAAAGGGGGGGTCCTTTACTATCATCGGCATGCGGTTACTGCTGCTACTCCTTCTGACGCGAATGATTATGCTAGTGCTGCTGCTATGTACCTCTGCAACTGTACTGTTGTTGTTCCTGCTGGTGCATCTGCTGGCAGTGCTGTCTCTGCTACTGCTAATGCCGATACCATGTGCGAGTGGCGCTATTACTGGGGCTAATCCAGAAACAACTCCCGCTGGTACAACTCCTGCCGACACCAGGATGCTGCTGCTGCTGATGCGCCTTGCAACTTCTACTGCTGCCACTTCTGCTTCACAGCTGCTGCTGGTAATGCTCTGCTTGCTTCAGCTGCTGCTTCTGCTGCAGAACAGCGAGACGACACGTATAAACTGAAAGGGCGGGAGGGTCATCGTTCCGCGGTAGAGCTCCCCGCGGCGGAGGGTGGGCACCTGGGCCCCAGGGGGGGGGGGGGGCAATCGGGGATAGGGCCGGCCGAGGGGAACTCCCTGCGGCGGAGGGCCGCCCTGTGAAGAGCGTCGGGAAGCTGCACCACCGAGAGGTCCCTGAGCCGCACCCACGTGCAACGGGAGCTAATTCACGCTGAAGGGGGCGAGGGTATGCGTGCGACCGGAGAACAGAAGACATCGGTGTTTCTGAGCAAGGTAAAAAAGGAGGAGGAGGAGGAGGAGGAGGAGGAGGAGGAGGAGGAGGTCACGACGATCATCTCCACCAGAGGGGGAGGAGCGCGAGAGGGAGAGGCACGAGGATCGTCCAGCACAAGCCTCCAACAAATGCCTGGTCGGGCCGAGCGCTGATCTGTGGCGAAGGGCTGCTCGGTTGGACGACGCGCGAGCGACAACAGGAGGGCAGGGCCGAACCGTCGGGTGCACCCAGGAGGAGGCCAGGAAGAGGGGGGTTATATCATCATGGCCCAGGGCATGTGCGCGGACGAAGGGGGGGCAGGGCATGTGCTGAAAGAAAGAGAGGGGGCCCTGACATCAGGTAGGTCTCGTGGCCCCGGCCATGGGATCCCCCCTCCTAGTTCTCTCACCCCCTCTCCGACACCCCCGGAACTGGCAACCCTGCCCACTTCGACCGCTCTCTCGCGAGCGCTGAGTTGTGTGAGTCGCGGTGGCGGTACGCCCCCTCGCAAGGTGGCGCGGTGGCAACCACCGAGTGACTGCTGCAGCACGTCGAGCTGATCGAACGCCTGTCGGCTCCGCCATTCCGCGTGAGCTGCCTCTTGCGCGCGGTCCGTGGCTCTCGGAGGAATACTTGGAGAAAGGCTGTCGAGAGATCACCCAGAGGATCCCAAACCTCCGTGGGCTTCTCCGAAGCGGAAGGACAATGATTTATGATTGAAATGATTAGCCTGTTGAATGAAAGTCGAACCTCCATTTCGGAGGCTTGGGGTCCTCCTGGTGCGCCCGTGTCTCTGTCCTTTCAATACCCGTCCCTCCCATCCCCGCCGTCTGTCAGTCGGTCACATGATAATGGCAATAGTGAGTCGCTGCTGATCGTCGAACCTCCCACTCTTCCTCCTCCTCCTCCTCCTCCTCCTCCTCCTCCCAAGTAGCTGGGCTTCTGGCAACGATGAGCACCACGATGGCCGCCTGAAGCGCCGCGGCCATGCGCGAAGAGCTGGGGTCGGTCACGAGCAGCCTCAGCCGCCTGGAGACGGTGACGGCCACTGCGGCGGCGGCGGCGGTTACGGCGGCGGTTACGGCGGCGGCGGCGGCGGCGGCGGCGCGACGGCAACGACGCCAACGACGACGCCAACGGCGAGGCGTGGCAGGGGCGGCAGAGGCGCCGCACCCGCCTCCCCGCCGCTCTCTGTCGGAGGGCGCCAACTGCATAAACCTACGCCGATCCTGGCCGGGCCCATCCCGGGCTCAGGGTCGGTGTGTGCGCCCTCCTGGCTTAGCGAGGGAGAGCATTTACACCAATCCCTGGCCCAGGATCGCCCTGGCTAGGATCGGTGCTCGGTGTAGGATCGTTGGCGCCCTTCGACCCTGGGGAGCGTCTCGTCATGGGGGGGCAACAAACGGGGGGGGGGGGGGGGAAGAAACGCGCACCTCGCGCACCTATCGTGCCCCTTCGGGGCCCCAGGCGGCGCCTTCAGGGCCCCTCTCACGCAGCCTTCCACCCCCTCCCTTTGTCGCCCGCCAGCACGAAACGCCCAGGGAGCGTCCCTCCAAAGCGCCTCCGGCGCTCCGTCTCGGCAAGCACCCCCAGCTGAACGCGGGAGCGCCCGCCCTGCCGGAGGCCGCGGGGCGCCTCCGAGACGGAGGCTTCACTTCCCATATTTTTCCATATTCTCCTGGGAGCCGACGATTACTTGTGTCTGTGTGTTTCTTTGCCTCCTGACTTACAAACTCCCCACTCTGTTCGTCCCAGATCCTGGTGGCTCCTGCCAGGCAACGGCCCCATGGGGCCGAAGTTGAGGAAGAACGCCATGATTGAGCTCATCATGGCGTTGGAGGCTCCTCCTCCTCCTCCTCCTCCTCCTCCCTCCTCCCTCCTTCTCAAGCCCTTCTGGCTCAGGCCTTTGTGCTGTGCCAGGAACACCGTCTGCTGTACCAATTTTTTGTGCAGGCTTGAGCGCCTCAGCCTGCTGAGGTGAAAGGACGGTACCATCACGACTCAGCCATGGTGCCTCCTCCTCCGCCGCCCGTGGATCCTGGCGCTGCTGGGGACGCTCGTCGCGTCCGCTTCGCCGACGGGACCTCCCCAGGTTTTGGCAAAGGCGGAGGGTTTGGAGGCAAGGGCGGCAAGGGCGGCGCTCCCAGTGTTGTCGGAGGCGTCTCCTGGGGCACCTACGGCCGCTGGACCTGCGTCACCTGCGGCTGCCGCAAGAATCGCCCATCCTGGTGGTTCTGCAAGCATTGCAAGACGAGCCGCAGCGAAGTTGAGACCGCCGAGCCCCCAGCTCCTCAGGGACAGTGGCAAGCAGGCGCACCTCCTCGGCTTCCCCTTCGGTCTGGACCTCAGTTCTCTCTTGGGCCCGTGTCGGGACCACAGCAGGGACAACCAGCTGAGGGAGTGTCCAAGGGCGCGCCCACAACCACGTCGGACCTGGAGAAGTTGGTCACCATGCTGGAGCAAGTGGGCGACACCGACGCAGCCGCTCGCCATCGTGCTGTTCTTCAGCAGCGCAAGGCGCAGGAGGCCCCCGTCGTACCGCTTTCACAGAAGGTCTCCAGAGCATTTGGCGAACTACGTACTCTACGCGAGAAAACGGAGAAAGCATGCAATGTCTATGATAAGATGGTGGAAGATGTGGCCAAGCAGAAGGACAAGATTCGGGAGCTCTCCGCCGAGCTCACTGCTGCCGAGGCCATTCACACCAAGCTGGTTCAGGAGCTCCACGCACAAGTGTCTGCTGCACCAGTTCTACTTGACATTTCTTTCATCCTGGATGGCAAAGCTGAGGACATACCGATCAGCATCGACAGCCTGCTCAAGCCCCAGTCGGACTACAAACTGGAGCCTGAGGAGGTGGAAGAGGCTGAAAAAAGAGCCACTCAGCTCAAGGGCGAGCTCCAGACAGCTGTGCGGGCCCTGTTCGGCGAAGCCATGCAAAAAGTCAAGCAATTTCAACAAGATCAGTCGGAGTTGTTCAAGCGGTCCGAGGCCAAGCGCAGGCGCACCGAGGAGGAGGAAGGAGCCCAGGCCAAGGGCGGAGAAGGCGATGCGGCTGTCGCAACGGCGGCCCCACCCAGCTCGGCTACGGCTTCTGCGGCCCCTGCTGCTCCTCCTGCTGCCGCTGATCAATCTCCAGATGGGGTGCATGGAGACGAAGGAGTTCGTGAGCGCGCAGCTCGGATCCTTCATGAGCCCCTGCCGTCTGCGCTCCCGAAGGCGGAGGACACCCCATCGACTCTTTGACGATGTACCACGTCGAGTGAGCACTTCTGAGCCCCTGCGCAAGGGGAGGCCTGTACCGCACTCACTTTCTTTGCCTGGCGGGCCAAGCTTTTGTGCCCCAGTGAAGTTTCAGCCTCCAGTGGATCTTGGGGTGAGCTTCGGTGGCCCAGTGGCTGCCTTCGGGGAACACACTACCTGGGCCCATGCCTACCCCTCTTGTGAGCCCCCTGCTGTTTCCAATAGTACAGTCTGTGCTGGCCGTTCCAGTAGGAGAGGGCTGATTTCAGCGGTGAAAGACACCCTTGCTAGATGCCAGGGGATCCTTCGCCAAGGTTTTGAACTTTTTGATAGCTCCCTAGGAGCCGACCCCGCCCCTTTGATCACCTCGTCGGGAATTCTTCGGACCCTTCGAGAGCCCCTGTCGGGAGCCTGGGATAAGCTCACCCAAGGGGTCACAATTGTTTCTAAGTTTTTAACTGCTCAGGATGCGTGTGTATCTGCTCCCGCCATGGAAATGTCTGTGTGCGCGTCTAGGGTGAGGGACCTCACGGGCCCTAGGCAGCCCCCTGGTGGCAAGCACTCTGGGACCTCTCTCCTCGAGCCCATGGATCCTGATCAGTTCCCTGTCGACGCGTTCCAGCCCGTCGTGGAAACGCGCAACGTCTCAGGGTGGGGCTCTGCACAGCGCTGGTTGCAGCGGACTCCTGCACACATCGTGCTGATGCAAGAGCACCACATCTTTGACGACCAGCTCGCCTCAGCATCCTCTTGGAGTATAAGACATGGGTGGAAGTCACTTTTCCTACCTGCTGACAAAGGACCACACGGAGGGCCCTCTGCTGGTGTAGCCATCCTCGTCCGTTCTGGTCTAGGCCTCCACGCGCTGCAGAGTGGCATGGATGTCGCGAAGCACCGTGCGATTGCGGGGGTGGTCGACCTCCCCGACGGCACCCAGATTTTGTGCGTGTCCCTCTACCTCAGAGATTGCGAAGACCTATCGGATGCGAACCTGGACCTCCTCTCTCGGACAGGCTCATTGATTGGCTCCATGGGGCATCCAGTCATCATAGGAGGGGACTTCAACATGATCCCGTCGGTCGTCGTCCAGTCGCACCTCGGGGACTCGCTAGGGCAGTGGATGATACCAAGTGACACTACTTGCAATTCGGTCGCGGGTCCTAAGGTTTATGACTATTGGTTTGTTTCGCCTGGGCTCAGCAAAGGGGTTGCTAGGGTGTCGGTGCGGCAGGATAGTGACTTGTCCCCCCACTCGCCTGTGCATTTGACCCTCCACCCCTCCCTGAGTAAGTTGCAAGCCCTCAGCTTTCGCAACCCCCTAGGTTGGCCTCTTCTCCGCTCCCCCCCGTCTGCAAGCTGGACCCCGTCCCCGCTTTGCGCCCTGCCGTCGCCCGTGTGCTGGATGAAGCTCGGATTGCGGTGGACAGGGGGGACTTCGACGCCATCCAGGCTTCTGTGGACCAGTTGCATCGGCTTTGGGCGGACCAGGCCGAGGCGGAAGTGGCCGTGGCCACTGGCACCCTGCTCCCCTTCCGAGGGTCCCGAGGGAAGGCCCCTGCTCTCAGATGGAAGAACATCCTGGCCCCCGACACCCAGAGCCCTAAGCAGCCCGTCTTGTTTGCACATAGGTGGCTTAACTCTCAGTCGCAGAGGCTTGGGCTCCACTGGGAAGCCAGTGATCGTGCAGGTGTTGCCTCTGTGCTACATGTACTGCGCACCCCTGTCGGGGCCATAGCCAGCGGCCTTGATGCTAGCCCCCGCCTGCTCCCGTAACTCGTCGAGGTCGGGGGCGCCATGCTCGATGCGCTGGAGGTGCACGAGCAGACTTCTCGTCAGGGGGTTTTACTGGAACGTCGACGTCATGATGTCGCTCCTGGAGATGCGGCCCCAGGAGCGCGCTTTGCAGTCATTTCGCGAGATTTTGTCTGCTGGCGCAACACTTTCAATGACCGCCTGCAGGAAGTCGAGTGCGACGCCAAGAAGGCGGCCTCGGCTGAATGGAGAGACTGGCTGTTAGAGAAGGCGGATCAATGGGCGCGGAAGATACATATGGCCTCGAAGGGGGCCACCCCCTGGAGGCCTACCACCACCTTGGCCAGTGACGGTGTTGTGGTTGCTGGCCCCTTGTCCCTCCTTCGTGCCGAAAGCCAGCGTTTCTCGGGCCTCTGGGGTGACGGAAAGGCCCGCCCGTGGCTCCCTAAGGGTATGTTGTCCCCTGCTTTGCCCGAGTTTAGGCCCGAAGATATCCGCGCGGTCTCCAAAGGGTTCCGTGAGCGCACCGCGGTTTCGGTTGATGGATTTCATATGAAGCACTTTGCGATGATGTCAGATGCCAGTCTCAGCCTCCTGTGTGACATCTTAGGATTGATGGAGAGGTCGGCTGCCATCCCTATGCAAATTTCCATCATTATCATGGCTCTGATTGTTAAACCGTCATCGGGGTTCCGTCCTATCGGCATCTTCTGCAGTGAGTTTAGATTGTATGGCAAGCTTCGCCGAACTCTCGCCGATAAATGGGAAGCTAGATTCACGCGTGAGTATTTTTGTGCTGGCCCGTTTGAAGGAGCGCAGGACGTCGTCTGGCGCCAAGCCTGCGATGCCGAGGCCAACACTGCACAAGGGATGGAATGCGCCACTCTGTTAACTGACTTGTGCAAGTACTATGAGACCCTGGATCTCCAGGTCCTGGCCCTCCGTGCTCACCAGGTTGGTTTCCCTGTTGGTATCTCGTACTTGTGCATTGCCATGTACTCCCAGGCCAGGTTTCTGTCCGTTGGAGGTTTCGTGGACGGGCCCTATTGGGCCCTGGCGGGGGTGGTGGCGGGGTGTTCCCTGGCCACGACCTTCATCAGGGTTAATGCTATTAAAAGGTTTGGACGCCCTCCGCCTCCCTCAGGCCGTCCAGTTCAAACTCTACATCGACGATGGAAGCCTGTCTGCCACGGGTTCCTTTAAACAAGTTTTAAAGCGGCTACCTCAGGCCGCGGCTGACTTGCATGACGCCCTCGTCCACGGAGTGGGCGCGGTCATCAGCAAGGAAAAGATGTCCTTAGTGTGCTCCTCGCGCCCCTTAGGCAAAGCCATCTCTCGGGCTCTCGGGGGTCTCGCGGGGCCGATTCTGGACTCCGACTCGGCGACCAATTTGGGAGTTGATTTTTGCGCTGGTAGGCCGTCCAGGGTTCGAGGGAGAAATTCCAAGGCTAAGGAAAGGTTTAGGAAGGCGAAAGATAGGACTGCTCGTTTGGTTCGAATGAGGCCTACCATTTCGGGTAAGCGTTGTCGTAATGTCTTCGTCGCGGGCCCTCTCCCTGGGGCCGTGTATGGGCGCGAGATCTCAGGGGTTACGGACCACGAGCTCCTCTCCCTTAGGCAGTTGGCTGGGAAGGCCCTGAAGCCTAGTGCTGGAGGTCGGTCGCTCACCGCTCTTATGCTGTGCCACGGCGACCCGCCGTGGGTCGCCTCCATTGCCCCTATTTACCGTTGGGCTAAAGAAGTTTGGACCACCCATCATCGGCTGTACCCCCATGTCCTCTCGTTCGCCACGCTGCGTTCGGCTTGGAATGCTGTGTTCTTGAGGCCCTCGGGCCTCTGGAAAAGTGTCGCGGGCCCGATCAGTGCGATGAGGAAGTCTCTTGAGCGTATTTCGTGGTCCATGCCGTCCTTCACGGTGCTCCGTGATGAGAGAGGAATCGATGTTCACTTGACCCAGGTCTCGCCCGCGATGGTCAGATCGCTGCTTGGGAGAGCGGTGCGTCGTACCCTCGAGTGGGATCTGGGAGCTAGGCACAATCTCGGTAGGGTTTGCACTGATGGGATCCTCAGCCTCCTCACCTCTCGGAAGTTTTCGGCTTCCGAAAAAGGTTGTGTCCGCTCTCTCTTCTGCAATGCCACCTACGCCAGGGCCAAGGCCAAATCCCTGGGTTATGTTATTGATACCACCTGCCCTCTTTGTGGAGACGGGGACGACACGATTCGTCACCGTCTTTGGCGTTGCTCTGCCTGTGAGGATCTCAGGACGGAGCTGATTCCAGCTAAGGTGCGGGAGTGGGCAGGCCAAGCGGACGACGCCCTGGCTTGCTACGGCCTCTTCCCCCACCCAGCTGAGGCCCTCCCCCAGCCGTCGTTCGAGGAGGGGGTCGTCACGGAGCTTTGTGAGGGGTACGAGCATTTGGTTTTCGATCAGGACTTCGCTGGTCAGATTTTTGTTGATGGTTCCTGCCTACGACACCCAGTGGGCGAGCTTTCACGTGCTGGATGGGCCGTCTCGTTGCTCGACCCTTCCAACATGCAGGAGATGATCAGGATTCGGGGCCCTGTGTGGCCTCCCTACCCCCAGACCCCCCAGAGTGCCGAATACCGCGCTTTTTGTGCTGCTGCTAGGTTTGTTGCCAACCCTTCTACCATACACTCTGACTGCCAGAATGTTGTAGATCATGCCAGTTTAGATTGGACCAAACAGACCAGCCACAACCGTTTGTACTCGGGGTGTGCCCAGTTCGTGCGTGAAAATTTACCAGTCATCACTACGAGCAAGGTGAAGGCTCATCAAAATGTTGACGAAGCGGTCGACGACCGAGACCGCTTCCTTCGTATTGGCAATAATTATGTGGATGCCGCAGCCAAGGTCGCTGCGGCTTCCCACCCGCAGCCCAGCAGGGAGCAGATGGAGGAGCTTGATAGGCAGTATGCAGTCGCGCGTGATGTGGGATTGTTGGCTGCAAAGCTCCTCCCCCAATGGCCGCCTATCGAGATGGGTCCTGATGTCGTCCGTGAGGTCGTGTGTCGTGAGAGCGGTGCTGGCCTAGGGACAGCTGCAGCCACCCCACACGCCTGGCAGCAGATAGGAGCCTTCTGGAGGTGCACTGTATGCTTGGCTGCCCCCCGCGGGGTGCGGGCCCCGCCGCAGGAGCACGGCATTGGAGGGTGGTTCTGGCCTCCTCCGCCTGGCGTTTGCTCTCAGCGCAGTAGACTTGATCCTGCGCTGCTTGCAGAGAAAGGGCATCGGTGCATTTCTCTCGAGTGCTCCGACTCGACTCGTCTTATCGTTTGCTTGAGGTGCAAGGCCATCAGCGGGCAGCGTGCTATGAATTTGTCTCGTCAGTGCGCCGATCACCCCAGCAGTGCGGGTGCACGGCATTGTTGGCAGAGAATATGCCGTGGCCTTCATCCGAAGAATGACAGAGTCACGGTAGAGCGAGGACCCTGGTCGGAACTTTAAGTGACCAGGGGCTGGCGGCCTGCCCCTCCATGTCGCCAGAGCGTCACTACAGAGGTGGAAGGGCCTGTTGCGGGCAAAAAATCCATCCTCCCTCCTTCCTCCCTCCTCCCTTCTCCTCCCTCCTCCCTCCTCCCCCCTCCCTCCTCCCTCCTCCCTCCTCCTCCTC